CAGAATGGCATTGTTTAGGTCAGCTAACGTGAAAAGCTTTCTTGATATAAGCACTGTTAAGCAATGAGCTACCTCTACTGGGATTATACCCTCAAAAACATCATGGGCAAGATCAGGTGGGTAGCCAAAGATGACATTAAAATGAGACAGATGTTTTGTAAAGATGAATTCCTTTTTCACTCCACAAAAACCTGTACCTGTATCTTGGGCTTGTTTGACATGGGCCTGATGCAGCTCCTTTGTTCTCAGACTGAAAGCACCAGATGCAACAGAATGTAGCTGAATATCAGTACTCTTTCCTGTGCAAAATCTGCAATATTATTCCACCGAAAAACTCTGCATAAATCCTGCAACGCTGTGTGCTCCCAGGTTGTCTGCCACTACACTGAGAACTGTACCTTTAACTGACTCACCTAACAACGGGACATAAACACCCAGCTCCTCCAGAGTTTTCAGATCTTTTAGAAGAGGTTCAAAGGTTTGATCATAACCATAGGTTTTAACATCATCGGTTTTGCACAAAACTGACAAATAGATAGATGACAATGATGAATGAGATCCCGGAAGCAAGTTAGCTAATACCCAATAAACAACACAAAAAAATAAAAATTTAGGATGATCCTTGGCTTTTCTCCTGTGAGGAAACTATTTTCCCTAAATAGGGAACCATCTGTTGCTGACTTGAACTGATATGACACTCCAGAACATGTGCTCTCCTGTTTTTGATGGCCCTCGACAACTTCATCAGTGAATATCCTTTCTACATAACAGCTGTTGTAAGGACTTCAATATCGGTACATATTGGAAACTGCGTTTGTTTTTAGCATCAAGAATATATTCCACTGGCTCTACAACACTGAAGTTCTCCTTGTAATACTTCTTACGCTGATATGCGGTACTGAGAGGGCCACCTTTTTGTATTGACCTTTGCACAGGATTACCAGAACAAATTGCATTAACAGTTTCTCTAATTATATGTTCATCGACAGGGAGGTTTCTCTGATGAAAGATCTCACTCACAATGTCACAAGATAATGGAACAGGTGCAGAAAAAGTCAAATGATGGAGTTCTCCTAAAACACATCAACAGCTGTGCTGGGCACATGGTCCAAATGCTCCAACATCAGCAAAGCAGCTGCAAATCTTTGCTCTATGATCTTCTGCAAGTCCTCAGTTTGAGAGGGACTGTTTGAAGGAATGGCCATATTTGACTGTTCGACGAACTCTTGAGTATTTTCCTCCAATTCATTCACAGATGATATCCTAGTACGTATAACTACTCCAGGTTTAAAATCAACCAAAGTGTGATGGCAGTGCTTTCGGTTTTTGTGTGATTTAAATGTGCAATAAGTTTGTTTTAAAGTCGCAACCTAAAAACATACAAATCAATGACAGAGACACACACTGACACAGATGCTGCCAGTTTCTTAATATGGCTCTTAGGTGGCTCTAATTACCTATTAATTAAACATTAGGGTAGGAGTAACTTGTGCATGTGCATCACACACAGATCACACTCACACACCTACCTTTACACCCCCACACATAAATGCCTGTGTAGGACACACTAGCAACACTATAGCATACTTTCTTTTAATTCACAAATAATTATATGTCAAAAGGATTTAAAAATGTAAAAAATTGTTGTTACACACAAACAAACACACACACACAACTATTACTGCTGCTACTATTTAGGTTTTTTTCTAGGTATATATTCTATTGCCTTTAGTGCTGTTGTTATTACTTGTTTGTATTAATGCGCATTCCAATATAAATGTGTGCTCTTTAAAAAGTTGTTTTCTAGTCACATATATTAAATGTTAATATCTGTACATATATTACTGCTTGTATTATTTCACCATCTGTACACAAATGTAAATCCTGACAGCTTGTGTTCGTTGGTGGGGATGTAGGGACGTAGTAATGTGGGCTTGTGTGGCTACATTGCCAGGGCCGCCCCTGCCTCCTGGTATATGAAAATGGCAACTCGATGAATGATTTGTGTGAGTGACATAAATTAATGGAAAGAAAAAATCCTCTTGATTGATCTGAAAACTATAAATTTCATAGTTTTCACATGACGTCACATTCCAATGAAAACGCTCCGTTGGAGGGCAAAAAAGACGTTATTTTCCGTTGCCTGCCTACCAATATACAAGCGATACACTGTTACTATGAGTTAGTTACTTTTGCATTGCCAAAATGCTGGATGGTTTTTGTGCTTTCAGATCATAGACTGTATAAGAACTGTATAAGAAGTGGACGTAGTCATCGTGATGTCACCCGTTGGTTTGTGGACTGCTGTTTTGAAGCCTCGAGTTTGGCCGATAGGTCGCCGCCATGTCGCGTTTTTGCAACCAGGAAGTGCCTGGAAGTGACGATACGGCAGAGCTAACGGCCGTGTGCGGAGCTAGCTAGCTCGCTTAGCTATAGGTAACTTTTTCTAGCGAACAACAGTCTTAAAACTAAATGTGCTCACCAGAGAAAGTGAACAGCCAACTACTAAAAAGCTTTTTCAATGGTGCTGGTTAAATTTACACAGTGCCAGAGTGAGTCGGCTCTAGCCTGATTGACAGGTTACGAATTGTCAATCACAGATAATCCCGCCCTGAAACATACTCTGTTTGTGGTCTATTTTAAAATAAATTGGACCATGATTTACTAAATGAACATAATTTTGTATTGAAGAAGACTTGAAACTAGCGGCTGAGACCATAAACTCATCAGGAAAGTTTGTACTGGGGTAATTATTCAGCTGAGAAGTAGGGTCATTTTACCATTATTTCTAATGGAGCCAGACTTCTTTTTGCAACCAGAAGAGTCGCTCCCTGCTGGATTTTCAATAGAATGCAGGTTTCAGGGACTTCCGCATTGTCTTCATATTGTAGACCTATTAGGACAAGGGGGAAGAATGCCCTACAGGCCCACCAACACTTGTTCCAGCAGCCTTGCAGTTTGTGTCCATATCTATCTTTGTCTTGAGATGAGAGGTGATCCAAATAAAATTTAACTGCTTTTGCGGCGTCTCTACGAGGGAGTCCGGTGTGAGCCTCGATCTTGGTTGTTGTTTTGCCTTCCAGGTCACCGCACATGTCACGTGACTGAAAACTATGAATAGGTGTGTGTGAGAGTGTGGAATCCATGTGTGAACATACTGTACCTGGATTAAAACATGCTATCATTTGGGCTTTTGTGTGTTTGACAGTGATATGTGGGTGTAAGTCAAACTGACCTGAAACAACCAGTGCCTGACACTGAAGGTTTTCAGGTCAATGATCAGAGTACAAAGTAAAATCTGTAATGCAACACCTAATGACTTATTAGGTCATATTCTAATTATCAGAGGGATTTGGGCGAAGCATTTGGCTTTGAAGATTCACTCACTCAATTCAAATCTTGGCAAATACAACTACATTGGTACATTTTTAATCAGAACTCTGTTTCACAATAGAAGTACTTCCCCATTCTCACATATGATTTAGATTTGTTTTGGGGATGTTGTCTTTCATTTTAGCAACCAAATATTCTCTGGACCACAGCCCTGATGTGACACACTGTAAATGTAACAACAAAGGTCAATGCACATTTGAGCTAAAAATAGGTCCCAGCCACCAGAGACAGTATGTTTAGTTACTTCAGCTCTTCTGTCCTCAAGAATTACCAGAGTAGTCACCAAACCTTTCCATGCCTTTTCTATTCACATTAAAAATATTCAGAACCAGGAGGACAGCCGTAGACAAGCATTGACAAACATTTTGTGTTGGTTGTTACAAAAGTAAGGTAGGAACATGTACCATGTCAACTTGTGGTGTGGTCTTAATTAAATTTAAATTTTAAAGGGGAATTTTAATTGTAATAGTAATTTGACAACATTGGCTATGGCTCTCTCCCACATTCCAAGGACATGCGTAGGTTAATTAGTGACACTAAATTGCCCTTGGGTGTGAATGTGTGTGTGAATGCTTGTTTGTTTATTTGTCAGCCCTGTGATGAAGTTGCAACTTGTTCAGGTTGTACCCTGCCTCTCGTTCAATATCAGCTGGGATTGGCTTCATTCAGCGCCCCCGCGACGCTGGGTAAATTGATGGGAAGATGATGGATAATGGATGGCTGGAACATTGACATTTTTAAACTGAATCTTATTTTTTAGATTTTTTTATTTTGACACAGTTGTTGGAAGAAACATGTAGATACTTTAATTAACTAGTGGCAACAAATTTACACAATGGAAAAATAATCTATTATAAGTAAAGGTCCTGCATTCAAAATACTACTTGTGTCATCTCCAAAATAATGCAAGTATTTATTATGTAGAATAGTTCTTTTTAAGATGTTAGATTTATTTGATTATTATATAATTGTATTTTTGTTTATGGCTTGACAGCTTGTTAATTGTTGTTGGTGTGGAGCTAATTTTAACCACTTATTACAGTGGTTCTCAAAGTGAGGTCCGGGGACCCCCAGGGGTTCTTGAGAGGGTTCCAGTGCCTCCTCTAGCTAAAAGTTATTTTCACTATAATTCCATCCATAAGTAACACAATGACAGAATGTGTGACTATTTTGGTAATGGGCTTTATACACTTTCTGTAAGAGCAAAAATACTATCAGATGGGTGACCCTGGGATAAAATCTCATCAAATTGGTGTATGGTGTCAGTTTAGGATTGTGAAAACGTTTGAGAACCACTGACCTATTACATACTGTTTGCAGTTTAACTTACAACTGTACATCACATTTTAAGCTCAGTTTATGTGTCAAATCAACTATATTAACGTAGTGGAGTAAAAGCAAAATATTTCCCTCTGAAATAGAGGAGTAGAAGTTTAAAGTAGGAAATTGTACAGTGCGTGAGTAAAGCTAGTTAGTTACTTCACTATCACTGTGAGACACAAACGAGAATATATGTGGTTGTGACATACAGAGTAGACAGGGCACCACTGATAAAGATGTGCATCCTGCCCTCTAGTGGTGGAAGGAATCACACAAAGACCCAGAGGATTGATGAAATGCATTTATTGCACTACATTTGTCCACTCTCTTCATCTCCATCTGCTGGTTCTGCATGACTTGTTTGATGTGATATTGATGACCAATACAGAGCCCTGCAATAGAGGAACAAATAGAAAATGTGGGAGTCATGATGCCAACTAATACTGGGTACTATAGGCTAGATATCTTAGCAAGGAGCACGTTTTATTCACAGAAAATACGTGCATTTATAAATTTCTTTGCTGTTTATTTTCATGTGGTGCAATTTATAGCTTTGTTTTACCCCAGGGAGAGGAATAGCAGCAGGAGTAAAGCAGTTAAACAGGCAGTGAGAAGCAGTGGCGAGGGGAGGAGGGAGCTGGGAGGACCACCAGGCGCAGGGAGTAACTGCCCTCCTGGGAGCAGAGACAGGTCAAATATCTCCTGCAGCTCTGTGTGGCCTGCCACAACCTGGGGGGTCACTTAAAGAGAGATGGAGGGAAAGAACACAGGGGAGAAGTGGAACTCACATTAAGGACATAAAGTAAAAGATGAGGGTAAAGGAACAGGGAGCGTGCAAAATAGATACACTGGAGTAAAATAGCAGAACTACATTTGAGAAAGTTACAAACAACAACAACAAATGATTAAAATGTCGTTAAAAAATGTTATAACCCGCAAGGTATAATAATATAACAATAATAATTGTATAATAATATAGTAAGTACAATTTGGTATAATAGTTGTGGGTATAATAATGTAAACTTTAACCATAATGAAAAAACTAAAACTAACAGAAAATAACAAGAAGCAGAAGAAAATAAAGTGTGTCCTATAAGAATTTACATTAATAGTTAATCAGGAAATGCAGGAAAGATACGTACATGTACATACATATGTATGCACACATGCAAATATGAATGAATATGCATATCCAAACATGTATATAAACGTCACCATCTGTCTCTCTGTCCCTCTTTGTCAGCCACTTTCCTGGTTCCCTGGGCCCTTTCCATCCACCCATCTACACACCTGTTCTCACTTCTCTCATCTGCCCTGCCATTACCTGGACTGCTCCACCCACTCCTACCCCCAGCCTTCACCTCAGTCTGCTAGCCCTGCTACCTGCCTGTCCTGGTCCTACATTACTTGAACCCCATGAGCCTCTGATGGAACAGTCAAAGAGCCACCTCAATGTCCAGGTGCCACCTTTTGGGAATCGCCTGGCCATTTTCAGTGGGTGGATTCCCCAAGAAAAGGAGTGGTCCGCATGTCTCATCTACCCAGCGCCACAGAACTAACACAGTCATGTTTGGTTTCCAGTCAGCTGTCCGGCCGACACCTGCTCCTGGTTCCCTGATGGTGTTCTGGCCGACACCTGTCCCGTTCCTGCTGGGATGCCTCCTGGTCACCCTCCAGACCTGCTTCACTCATCTGCCCAGCCGTCCACCTGGGTTCTTTCGCACTGCCCCTGTTCTCCAATTACCGGGCCACTTGCCCTCTTAATGCTTTTGTGTGCTTCATATCATGTTTCTGTGTTCCTTACTTGCATGTTTTGGAATTTGCCTGTTTTCTTTTGACTTCTTGGGGGATTTTTGCCTGCTTCTTGACTGTTTGGACCACCTTCTCAGTTTCATGTAATTACTTTTAAAGAATTTATTCTCAGTACTCTAAGTAAATATTTATCTATTGTTTCCATTATCTCACGTGGCATTATGTGACACCTACAAATGTGTTGTCACAATTGTTAAGATATTTTGTGTAATAGCCTGTAAAAAAGGGGCATAATGTGAATGTATTTTGTACGGGGTTTGAGTAGTATTTTTATAGGGTGTAAGCCTGCTGAACGATCACAAGTGACATCTTCTGTCTTTGCTTTTCCTGTACAAAACAGGTTAGTAATGTGTGATATTTTGCTGAAATACATTTCTATGGACTTTTAAAGCCTTTGTTATGTTGTGATGACAACATTTGATGTGTAAAACAGTGGTTTATTCAGTAAAGAGACTTTGAATTAAAAGTGTAGCTAGCACCCGTGTAGACCCAACATGGCGGCCTTCCGACGTTTGTTTTGTTTATGGTCATTGCTCATGGACATTGCACTTTTCTTTGTATTTGCTAAAGCTAAAGGTTGAGCTACGATTATTTAAAGCTTGTTGAGCTGAGGATGTGTCAAGTCTTGCATTCAAATCCTGTTACCGTGATAATACTGAACAGTGTAACATGTTGATAAGGTTAGAAAAAACGTGTATCTTGTAATATGTAGGCCTCTGTATTGTTTTTATATGTTGTATGTGAGAATGTTGCGGAAATGTGAAACAAGTAGGCTTAACAGTATCAAAGCTACTGGATGTATATGATTTTGGATCTAGTAAACAGCAGTAAGTGTGAGTACCAGCTGAGGCTTGGAGAGGTGAATTATTTCTGTTGAACTGATATATAATTTGTAAAATATGTTATTCCAGTGGTTTAATGTATTTACTTGCATGCTGTAGTGGGAACCTAAAAGTGTAATTTGTTAAAAGGAATATGGTCAACGTGGTTTAAGTGAAGGAGGGAAAAAAGAGTTAAATTCTGTTTAATAAAGACAAAGAACAGCCTGCTGAACGATCACAAGTGACATCTCCTGTCTTTGCTTTTCCTGTACAAAACAGGACACAATATCTGTTCACAGGTAACTCTTGCTTGAGGCCTGTAACAATTACATCTAATAAGGTCAAATCTGTGCCCATAGAAAACATATTGCATATTGATTCCAACTGATAAATATTAATCACAATTTGAACTTCTTTCTGCTAAAGGTGGTGTATCCTGTTACCTGTGAGATAGTAGTATAGTCTAACAATGGAGCGTTGGCCTGAGTAGATCTCACATTGGTAGGTGCCCTGATGCTGCAAGTTGGTTGAAGGGATGGAATAGAGTCTGTCCAACCCTGCGGTCGCTTCTTCAAACTGATCCACCTGCTGGGTTTTCACCTGTCCAGGAAAAAAATCTTACAAATACTGTAGGCAGGAATCCAAAGGTAACAAAGTCCACCTACCCGCACCTCTAAAGATCAACAATTAACATGTTAATGCTCATTTGTTTAACTGCTTGTTTGTTGTACAAAATTAACAAATTATCTATGTAATGTATTAAGTATTGAGCTACAGAGGTGCTGGGGTAACTTGCTCACAACCCTGCCAAACCTCCCAATTTTTCCGAGAGACTACTGTTTTTCCTGTCCCGGTTTCCTCCTGGAGTCACAATACTCCCATATTTCTCCTGATTTACGTCAGATTTTCACACCTTTTTTTCTGCTTTTCATTATTACAATCTATTTCTGGCACTGTACACCGTGTATAAGCCCTCTGACTCCAAAAGTTTCCGCCCCCGGACAACAATACAGTTACACCAGTTAACCAGTTAACCAACAGTTGTTTCTTGACATGCATGTGATGTGAAGAGAGCTCCTGAATGAATGAATGAAAAATTATGAATATTAGTTAATGGCAGACATTCACAGAAGTTAACGCCAGGGGGGAAATTTAAAGTCACCAGAATGGAAGTCTCCGACAGTCAAATTTTTCTGGGGGTGGACCACCCGACCTCCCCATTGGCTTTGAAATACTCCCTTTTCTGATGTCTCAAGGTTGGCAAGTATGTTGCTTGATGATGTTAGAATGATGGATGGGAAGCCTGCCTGGCTACAATTTCTTGTCTGGGTATAGGAACCAAATTTATGCACTGCTCAGTCATACAGTTAGCACTACGTAAAATGTCAATAAGTTATTTTAGCACAACGGCTAGCTAACTTGCTTACTGAGTGCGCCACATTACAATATATGACCAATTTAGCACTGTAAAATGCATTGCATCCACTTGTCATGCTTTGTAGTTGCAACTCAAAAGTCACACCAGCATGTTCATACAGAGGACATTTTGATATAAATTTACTACATTTGTGCGGAATGCTGTGCTCAACTACATTGGGTGTATCTCATGAACTGTTGGCACCTACTGATAAATAACAAACCTACACTAAGACGTATATGGCAAATGGAATCACATACAAACCCTGTTACTGGTAGGCCATTTGTGTTGTTTTATCTTAGGATACACTTAGGCTAGCTGTTTCGTCCTGCTTCCAGACTTTATGCTAAGCTAACTGTATCCTGGCTCCAGCTTCATGTTTAACAGACAGACATGAGAGTGGTGTTAAGCTTCTCATCTAACTCTTTTCTCTGCAAGACAGCCAAAATGCGTGTTTCCCAAAATGTTGAAATATTCCTTTAAAGGTATTGCAGTGACCCTGATCAGTTCACCAAGCATACCTCTTCTGCAAACCTCCAGACCACCTCGATATTGTTTGGTAAATGAAACGGCACCTCGCACCACACTCGGGTCCTGCTGTTCTCCATTACTTTAATTTCCTGAACTGAAATAAACATAGCAACCCGCATGCACACACACACACACACACACACACACACACACACACACACACACAATATTCACAGGAGGGCAGCTCTTGCAGTCTGAGCCCTCCTTAATGATAATACTTAAGCCCAGTCTCTGAGGGTTGGAGTAAAAGTGATGATATGCTAAACAGTGGCTGTGCTGTATAGGGTTGATATGAATACCATCGTGTGTGGGAGTCAACTGTCACCTTGCATAAAGAAGCCAAGGACTTAAAGAGTACCTTGGGGGCTCTGTGCAAAAGATATAATGTGTGGAAATAAAACCTTGCCTCTGTCTTTTTTTCAAATGCTGACTTTCTGCTAAGAGCATTTCAAGGATCAAGAGTGGATGCTTATGAAGGTGAAAATATAGTTATGTAAGGATGTGTCAAGTCTGGATTAGTAGACTTTTTTTCCTATTTAAAAAAATGTGATGTAACAGTATCAGTAATCCAATATGTTGGACAGATTATTAATACTCACCTGGACAGTCGAGGGGGAATTCACAGGAGTCATACTGGCAGGTAATACAGTTGTAAACTGCACCTGCACTCTGAAAACCTGATGGGTGCATGAAACCAATACTTAAGATATTTTGTTTCTAATAACAGAAAATATGATATTGAAGAGACAAAAAAAGAATAAAAACACTAACCACATGGGGGAATACATCCAGAGACTGTGAAAACAAAGAAAGATAGTTAACATAGATCAGAAAATCTAAATGTTATTGTCAATATCCAGAAGTATGAGTCAGTTCAGCCCGACAGCTTCCTTTATTCTCCTAAGTATTTGAAAGGCTGTAATAATGCAACTAGCTTATTAAAGAGAGAGTGCAGAGATCAGAGGGAGCTGTAATGACCTAATGGGCCTTACTATGGATGATAAGATGAAGGGAAAGGGAAAGAGACCATGTCTCACCTCTAGGCAGTTTGGAGGCAGCTGCGATGAAATTGTCTGCTGCTGTTTGCAACCTTTCCTCATACACTGTGTCTGATGGGTGGAGAGGAGGAGAAGGGGGAGGAGGAAGACAGAAATATTTGGCTCAACACGTCCTGGTGAAATGTGTGCTTTAGGGCATCATTTGAAATTTCTCATTTCTAACTCCCCTCTGTTACTGACCTTATTTAACAATTCTGACACTCCAAAGACGTATTTACTTGTGCGGTCATGTGTGTGTGAGAGCAGGTGTAGCTACCTTTATTCAGCTTTTGGTTAAACTCTTTCACCATGGGCAGGATCTCTTTATCCAGAATTTCTTTTAGCTGTTTCTCATAGCCTTCACCTGGAAGAAGGGCACATACCACAAAGTATAAACCAACCTCTTCCCTGTATACACCTACAAGTTATCCCTAATTGTTGTTTAGAGCTGATTTACTATTTAAACGTTTTTTTTTTGCATTTGCCTTCAAGAAAAACTAGATAAAACACTATACAAAAAATAGTAAAAAGATAATTTTCCGCACCCACTCTGCCCGCCTCAATCACTCCCTCGTTGTTGTTGAATATGCGGTCCAGCTTCCTGAAGCAGGCGTCAACATTTCTAACATTGTACATGGTCAAAATGTGACCCCAGCACAGGCTAAGACTGTCTTGCACATCAACAAAGCACTGATAGCAACTTAGAGAGGTGTTGAAGAGCAAGCTAACACACACGAGCCACAATGCAGATGTGCACATTTTTCAGCACGGGCATCAAACTCAAACAAAGGTTGCTGTATGAAATGTTTTTATTCAAATCCAGGACTACAAACCTGAAAAGTCCAAGGTTTCATATTCCAGAAGCTTGAAAAATCAAAGCCTTAAATGTGGATTTTATGTGCCTATCCCACATGAAATTGAATAGCAAGATTTTAAAAGTACCCTGCTCATGTTTCCTCAACATGCTTGAGTTGGAGAGGAGAGCACCACAGACTCCCCTCTATACTTCCCTCCATTCTATTGTCTCTAGTCCCCATTTCCTGCTGCCTCAATGCACCAGTTTTACTGCAGAGCACAGAGATGGAGCGAGCCAAAGAGGGAGGCGGCAGCGGCGGCGGTGGGAGGGAGAGGGGCAGATGAAGAGGGACTTAAATTCTTATGTACATAGAGGGATGAAGTGGACAGCATGTTGACAAGGAAACCCAAGAGAAAAATACAAAGAGTTAAAGTCGAACTGGTGGTGTGGAGATGGCGAGGTGGAGAATGAAAAGCCAAAAAAAGGGAACAAAAGGGTCAACAAAATCAATAGATCAGTGAGCGACGAGAAAAAAAAAGTGCATATTCTTGCTGGTGGAGTTTAGAAAATTCAAAAAGTAGCGGTGAAACAATGTTGGAGAAAAAAAGAAAATGTAGTGAGGAGAAACAAAGAAGAGAAAGGTAGGTGCAAGAGGAAAGAGAGAGAACACATTAGTGGAGGAGAAAGAGGAAGAGGGAGCAGGACTACAAATCAAGTCGACTGCCTCATCACATCCTGTATCCCCCACTCGTCTCCCATCCTCCTCACCCCCCCCCCGGTCCCTCATTCCCAGTGCATCTCCATGGTAACCAGACAGGGTGCCTAATACGTGAACTTAATATGTTTTCAGTGGCAGGGTGAGCTGGGTACTAATGCATTCATCTGTCTCCACACAGACAAGCCAATCAATATTAGGCAAGAGTCTGCTCCAGGACTGCCAAAGTCAGATAGCTAGTCAGGCAGCTGGACATGGAAAATCCCAAATATATGTGTGTGTGTGTGTGTGTGTGTGCGTGTGAGAATGCATTTAATTGTGTCTGAGCGTACAGAGCGTTTGTTGCTATCAGGCACTTCGATGAAATCTCTACATGCACGCCCAGATCATTATAAAAGTATAAAATCTCTCTAGAATGACACTTTTCATTTATGTGGAAGATAACACACTCTTATTTGCTTGAGAAAAGGAAAAGGGAATAATCTTCACAAGATGTTGCCAATTACACTTTGTATTCAAGAGCTGGTACTTCATGTATAAAATTGGGGCAATTGGCTCTGTCTAGCAAATAGTGTGTAAGTGGACAAAGGAAAACTGAGAGATTGCAAAATTCACACCTGTGGAGTATTTTTTCAGTAGCAGACAGAAAGACATATTTTTTTTTATAAATTCACACACATAAACTGTTTTTACCATATTTTATTAGCATACATAGGTAAAAACAGAGCTACCATTACAATACAAAGTACAGAAACATGCACATGATGTACCAATAATTCCAGTGATTTTTGAAGGTGACATAAATGACGGGGTCACAACCCTCGGCTGTCTTCCTATTGGCCCACACTAAGGGCTATAACACAAAGCCAGTCAATAGGGTTGGCCCCCTGATAGTGTCTGTGCTTCCTTTTCTTCTTGTCCAACCTGACAAGTCTTGCAGCTGGAGACTAAGATACATTAGAGGCAGAAGAAAATGTGACATTGTATCATTTGAGGGTTTTCTTTTGTTTAAAGTGGTTTGAAAGAACAGTGAGAATACCGAAGGAAACTTCAAATGTTAAACAGACAACCTTCTGGGGAGAAAAATGTTCTTCATGTAATATTTTTTTCATAAAATGCCTTTGTTTCTAGGAAGTTGAAACTGAATGCAGCCCTGTTCCCGAGGACCTCACCTGTGACCTGCTTTGACCTCACAGGTTAAGGGTCTCAGGGACAGAGGGGCATACTGTGAAATTATAATACACTTGGAGGGTTTTAAAACTGAGCAACTGAATACACAAAAAACACAACCCTGAGTCAGAACGTATTAAAAGAAAGAACCGCATAGTCGCTGCACCGAGAAAAAGACATGACCTCATCTGACATTTGGATTCTGCGGCACCGACTGGTCTCCTGGTTTGCTGCAGAACAGAAGCAAAACTGATCAGTTCAATTACAACATAATTAAGAAACAATCATGTATTTGTCTAAGTTTCAGCCACACTAACCGTTTTCCTTACAGTGCAGCAAAGAGAAGCCAAGTAATATATTTTCCAGCAATGTTCAAAAAATCGCAGCAATGCAGTAGTTGAGCACATTGGGGTGGAGATGCAATTAATTTAGGAGAAACATTTAATTTCAAACTGTTGTTAAATGTCATGGCCATTTTGAACATGATTTATTGAACAAGCACTGACAAATGACAATGTCTAATAGCTTTTCAGAGCTCAGTGAGTTGAAAGGACTTTAAAAACAAACTTCAGATGTATGTAAGAAACATTAGTGGCACAATCATAATCTAGAACAAAAGTTACATGTCAAAGACATAGATGTTAATCTGGAGCTTTTAATTATTGCTCCAACTCCAACCTTTTACACTATGTAAGACACATAAATAGCCAAATCTTTGCCTAAAACATAATGTCTGTAATAGAAAAGGATATTTATCTTTAGTTCTTTCCGTAAGAAAAGGTAAATGAAGGTCCAGTCTAGATAAATTTACAGTGATATACAGTCTAAATGTAGTACTTATTATTACTCTGTTATAATATGATTTCTCAGTCCAATATTAAGAGCAAGACATGATCTGTCTTCTGACTTACCAATTAAGATTAAACTAGTTTTTGATGATTTTACAGAGGGGAAAGGAGTAGAGGAGGACAAGGAGTCCCACCTGTTAATAAAGTAAAATAATAACACATTAGACTGCAACAATATCAAACTGTATTTATTTCCCCAACCAGAAATAAATCCAAACATATATATGTTTCTTTACATTTATGAAATGAACGAAAGAAAAATTAATTGCGTAAAAATATCAGAAGCCAATGCCCCCCACTGGCAGACAGACAGAATGACACATACTGACTGGGGAAGACCAAATACGTCGATATAGAGAAGGGACATTTGCATATTTTATCTGACTCATCTGTTAGGGAAGCATGTCTCATCAAGTAAAACACCTCAGTGTGAACGTTAATGATGCGTCACGTCCTCCATCAAACTGGACTGCAGCTGGACTACATTACGTTTTATCTACAGGTCATGAGCTACAGGCCTCAAGATTTTGGACTCCAAAAGTGAAATTTTTAGGTTGTCTCAGTTAGTGTCGCATGTGACAGACATGGCAGCTGGAGACCAGAGTAGAATAGCAGACATTTGTTATAACTTCATCAAGAAATAAATTATGGATTTGTCTGCGGAAGAGGTGGCTTTTTTTTTTCTTTCATGTCACTATCAATACAATGAAGCTGTGAATTAATTATACCAACACATAGCACAACAGAAATCGAAATGTCTGTGTTGAATACATTCATGATTATTGCAGCAGGTGGAAATGCATATTGTACAACACTGCCAGTCATAACATTGAAATTCCTCACCAGCTGTTAATTTTACTAATCTACCTGCCTGTTGTAAAAAAGATGATTATAATGAGGTAAATCTCAGACGTACTTGCAAATAAGGTGATAAAGGAAAGTGTGAATTAACACAAGGTGCAAATCTAACACGACACGTAGATATGACCTGTCGACAACATTAATTGAAAGGCTTTTCAGCGTGTGCAAACACAGACAGATTGTCACACTTATACGACAAATATATACAGCCAGAAGAGTACACACATGCATGCACAAGCAGAACAACACGGCTGGTTTTATAACTGTCAAAGGAAAGGGTGTGAAATTTGCGGTGAAAAAGTTTCAGATAAATATGCACGTCAGCTCTGCATAAACAGCAAACATACTTAATCTACATTAACCTTACGAGTGAAAATGTATCAACAAAAAAAAGACAATCACCTTGCAGCCAGCGTCTTCTTTTCTTTTCTTTCCCAGTCTGAGTGAGTCTGTGTCTCCTCTCAGCTCTCTCTCTCTCTCTCTCTCTCTCTCTCTCTCTCTCTCTCTCTCTCTCTCTCTCTCTCTCTCTCTCTCTCTCTGATGGTCTATGCTGGGGCCAGACAGAGAGCCCAGCGGCAGGTAGGTTACAGACAATGGTATTGATTCCATTTTTCTGCTCTCTACCTACCTACCTGACTAACATCCATACAGCTCCTCACCTTTTGTCTCAGCAGGGCTGCCGTCGCAAACACACAGAGCTGCAAAAAGAGAAAAATAAAGGAGAGAGAGAAAAGGCTTGCGTACTTTATGCGTTCATATGCCCAGTTATACACCAAACCTCCCGGTGCACATGCTATCCAGCACTTACAGACGACACTCACACACACACATACTCATTTACCCTCTGTGTTGCATTCATGGTCTCTAGTTGTCTCTCTTTGCTTTCATTGTACCTCAAAATCTCTTCTCTTCCTTTCTCTCTCCCTCTTTTACACTCTCTGGTCGTCATCCTTCCATCTCCCTCTTTTTCCTCTCACGTATTTCTAGCCTCACGTATCTACCAGCTCAGTAACCCCCCCCCCCACACACACACACATACTCTAGTCTGTGTGCTACGTGTATGTGTGTGAACGTGTGATAGATGGAAAGAGAGAGTGAATAAGAGTGGAGTGAGTGTGTGCCTGTGTGTTTGTATGTGTGTATGTGTGTGTGTGTGTGTGTGTGTGTGTGTGTGTGTGTGTGTCTATGAAAGAGAGGAACACTGTGTGTGTGTGAGTGAGAGAGGGAGACGGTTGGGGGAGGGAGGTAGGGTGGCAGAGAGGCTAGCAGAACGTGGGGATGGAGGGGGAGGGTCAGAATCTCTAATAGGATGAGAATGGAGAGAAAATATGAAGCCCAGGAGTCTCATGAACCTGAGAGCCTGACACTACTGCCTCCTCCTGTGTGTACAGCAATCATACCATCATCAAATTGATTACGGGATTTATGGCGTTGCTCCAATACAAGTGTAAATTGCAGCTGGAGTGACATCAAACACACTAAATAAACCCATCGTGGAAAGCTTCGCCAATTACAGGAATGTGCCTTGATTATTCAGCTTAACATCAGAGGAGGACAATCTGCAGCTTGCAGTTCGGTCCCACCAAACGGATCCAAATGATGCTGAAATGGAGGCTGTTTGAACACTATGAAATACTGATAAAAAAGATAAAAGCTGCATGCACTCTTTGTGTTGCATGCATAAACAAAGAAATTGCAACAGTTGTGCATATTTAATGTTGTGTAACATTTTTCAATTCTGTGATATTTTTACACGTTTAATATTTCGGCTGGGTTGCTCAGTCTGTTCACACGCCCAAAGGCAGTTCTAAATATTCTAATATTTGTGCTACCCTCCAAGAGGACAGAGAGTTGCAGTTGTGCATGTTGGATAACAGAATCATATGGCCCTGAGGGAAATTCAGAATTGAAAGTAAATCTAATTTAGAGCCACTGATTGGCTGTCTGCTCTGTGAGATGGAGCATAAACACACACTTGATGTGTAAGCATCATTAATGGCCCTAAAGTGTTCTGACCATATTGTACAATATCACCAATGTGTCACACATTTAGCGCAAATGAGGGTAAACTGACAAAGAAAACGCACTGCTTGCGGCCTAAAGCAGTGACGGAGGCCTGTGATAACATGTTTCTGATGGACAGTTAGTTAACACCCTGGCTAAAATAATGAAGGTATGAAATAGGGTTGGGTGATTGGATGAATCCAATATCAAAGAAAGTCCATCTCCGGTTGTGTTTTTTTGGGGGGGGGGCGGCGATTTTTGCCATTTTATTTAGCTAATTTAGTGGTCTGTCTTAGAATGAGTGAGAGCTTCTGCTCAATGACTCTTGTTCGCACAAAGAGGCCAACAACGGCAGAGAGAGGCAGTGAGGAAAAACAGCATGTAGTGAATTAAGAGCTTATTTCGACCAACCCAGAGTTGGTGATTGTTGGAACAGTGGACAGACTAACCAAGGCGGTTTTGGGGAGTTTTATTTTGATTCTGCCGAGATTGAATGAAGTGTGTTTCATGATGACTTAACGAGGCAATTGAGCTAGTCTTTTACATATCGCAAAAAACCCAGTATGAAATTAAAAATAAACAAGGACAAGTAAGCACACTGATCTCTTATAGCATGTAGAGTTCATTTTAAAAGGCACTCTCCCTGAAAAGCAATTACTACAGTACAAAAGATGGGAATCGATTAAGACAAACTCATCGTCATCTTCTTTCAAAATACATTCAGATGAGGTTTCTGTTTCATAAATATGCAAGACGAGGATGCAACCTTTCAGAAATGTAGGTTAGCATAAAAACACTACACTATATATTCATAATACCTCATGAATATTCATTGTGTACCCACACTGCCTATAGACGAGTCTCTGTCACTTCAGCTGCAGGTATTCTAGACACATACTCTGTGCAGCTGAATATATTTCCCGCTTTGATCCTATTCTGTATCACTGTCTTATTCACAGATCCAATGCACTACAGGACTCTTCACATCCTCCTCTGTATCCGCAATCACACTGTAATGCCATGCCACCTAAATTTACATAGAAACACGTTGTGACGTTGTGAACATTGTGAATGTGTTTACACTATCTGCTGTGATGTGTACAGCATGTTCTGCACTGTCCCTTTGAATGTGAGTTCCTGTGCAATATGCACAGCACATATATACTATATGATCCTGCAATAATGTCACCAAGCCAAATTCCTGTACATTTAAAACACATAGATTGCGATTGTGAATATATTACTGAGTGCAGGAGTCTCTGCCTGCTCTCCTCTGTCTGTCCTGCCAGAAGACTACATTAGAGTATGTCTTTCCAAGACAGCGGCTATCTGGACACAAATTTGTCTTTAAAATCCAGACATAAGTGTCCCATCCTGAGTGACAACCGCAGAATGTCACATACAGGTGTGTGTGTGTGTGTCCGTGTCTGGGTGTGTGTGTGTATGTATGTATGTATGTGTGTGTGCCTGCGGCTGCACTCTGCAGTGCCACTGAGAGACAAAGCACTGGGAGTGCTTCACAGGGATGACATCATCAGTCTGGGATGGTGTCTGCCATGTCTGTCTCAGAATCGGGATGCTCTAGATCTCAGTTATACCCCGAGATATCGGAAGACACCATCGTTTTTGGCAGCACACTTGTCCTTATCACACCTGTGTTTACATAGTAGTGAATGTGAGCAAAGAAAAAATGGGCTAAGCCGTGCTTTGCAGAAAGTGATGTCAGAATTTTTAGGGTGTTTCAAGAAACCCATGATACTTGATGTTGGGAGAGGTTGTGGCGTTTTTGTCATGGTTCTAACCTCGAAAGACATTTTTTTGAGCAGCATGCATGCATGTGAATATGTTCGTACAACAAATCTGCTCACACATATGCACAGTGTGCAGCATCTGCCACAGTGGAAAATTAGCCAAGTAAAACCGGCCACTGGTATAAACAATCCTTTATTATATTGGGGAATGATAGGGAGAGCGAGAGAGAGTGAGAATGAGGCAGGGCAGATTGTACATTATCCTTTCCCCACACACCTTGCAACTGTCAGACATTCAGCTGTAACTTCTGGCAGGAGAGCAGTGTTGTGCGGTGGAAGATAAAGAACGCTACGACTGACAGTGCCGAATCAGCACAATTCTGATATACGCTCCCCCCCACTTCCAGTGGGGGAGGAGAGCGGGCTATAACGCACTGCAGATGGCTTCTGTCACAACTACCAGTCTTACATAGTGAGGGCAAGGGAGGAGGTTGTGGGGTAATGAAACTGGAAAAATGATTGTGATAGTCTGTGTTGGCGTGGATGCAGAGGCCAGCATAAAGTGGAAACATGGAAGAATTTGTGGCATGTGTGTAAAAGTATAATGCCAGGCAGACGAGACTCCTCTACCTGTTGTAAAAAATACATGGATCTCACAAATGACTGCCAAGCACAGGCAGGCAGTCCCTGATTTCCGTAGTGAGGCTGGGTATAATGTATTTATTTTATATGTATGATATGTTATGTTATATGTTGCATTGTGTTTCATTAGGAACTGTATGGAAATTGAGGTGGGGGCAACAAAGGGTGAGAGTATAATTTGTTTTTTTCTGTTATTGGCAGAAAAAGAAGAAAGTTAACCTTTGGCCATGTACAGGGGAAAACAATCCCATCTCGAGATCCAGGCGGAATTCGGTGACTAACTGTTTTTTTAGCAGACCTTTTCTCAAAAATAGGGAGTGACAAAATGTTTTTAATGCTGTTTACCATAAATGTATTTTCTTTGTCAGCTTACCCTCTTAAGTTATTAGAGGGAGGGTTATGGAGGCTTATGTTTCCTAGTCAAAGAAAGGGGAAAAGAATAAAAAAGAAAATATGAATAAAATGAAACTATAAATTCAGCCCCCTTCTCTACACTAATAACTTTTGTACAGTCCCTTCTCTGACCTTGACGTAGGATCTTGGATAAAAATGGAGGTTCAGTTTCCTCTCTTAAAGGTATTTTTGTTGAGGGGGAACTACTGATTGCCAGTGTACAACCGACAACCTGTCAAGCAGCAGGTGGTCCTCCTGACAAACATGTCCAGACAAATGTTGCACACAAAATGACACATAAGCTGGTGGTGGGGAAGTTAAGACTTTGCCCAAGGGCACAGTATCCAAAAGGTGTTAAAGTTGAAAAGGGCGAGTCATGTCATTAACCACTAGGTGATCCTCTGGTGGAGTAACAAGATATACTTACCTCTCTGTTGGGGACACATCAGACGTGGCAAGAAGTGACTCCGCAGGGAAAGCTAGAAGGTTGTACAGTTATCTCCGTGCTGTTTATTATGCGAAACCATACAACCAACTACCTCACACTGCAGAGCACAGACTGTAGAGCTGCTCTCCAGACAAAATCTTCACCAGCAGGACGAAGGTGTCCATGCACATGCTCTACATACACCTCTCTGGCTTCTGCCTACCGGTCAACCAATTACCTCATGCCTCACTTATTTTCTGTGTTAGCATATATACTCAAATTGTTAATGTCCTTCTCACTTAATCATTTAACAGGTGCTGAGATTGAGACATTCAGAATTACTTCATGCTGGGTTTTTTTATTTCTTTGATCTTTGATCTTCCCATTGAGCTCAGTTGGTGGTGTATGTCTATTTGTGTATGAGGTTATAGTAGATAAATTAGTCTTTTTTCATCAGTTTGGAGGAAAATAAGAGTTTGAATGATATGGTTTTGCCTGAAGAGATGCACATTACCATTCTGCAACACTGGGAGCAAATCTGCCTTCATGACTCATGGGCTGGTAGGACTGCTCTACGATTTGGGGTCCTAGAGATGAGCCTGTACTGAGTGATGCAGTGGCTATGGTGCCAAAGGTATGGCTGCATTGGCGAAGCTTAGGTTTAAGGCATATATGCCGCAGAGCAGGCATATATGCAGAGAGATGCCAGTGGAGCCAAACATGAGGCTGCTGATATAATCAAATACGCTGTAAGACTGGATGCACAAAATGTGACACAAAAGTTGTGCCTTTGACAAAGCCGTTAAAATTCTGGTCCAACACTGGAACAGAACTATAGAAATCCATTTTCACACATCTAAGCCTCTCATGCAGGTGTGAGTACTACAAAAGGCTTCATTTCCTATGTTCATTCATAGTCTTTCCATCCACTTCTAAGGAGTTGTTGCCCTCTACTGGTGACTGTCCAAACTCCGTCTTGCTTCTTTACCTTCTCATCATCAGTGTTTTGTACACACAGTGCCACAAGATTCTGCAATAGAGTGATATTGAAAACTTCAAAATGCCGTCTATGGACAATCAGGGCTTGGCTATCCTAGCATTGTTATACACAGGATGTTACAAGTACACACTTTCTTATCCTATCACATCCTGGAAAGCAATGACTAAAATTCATATCTTCTTCCCTCATAAACATTTTTTTTTAAATCACCAGCTTTTATTGCATCCAACTTGTTATTAAATCATATTGTTTGGGTTTGCACTTTCATACATTAACACACTGCAATATTTCATCCAAATCAGATGTCTGATTCTACTTAATAGCTGACAGGTTTTCATGGGAGTTTAATGCCATCTGCCATAACACTGTCATCACCATTAAGTCAGCTGTCAGCTGTGATATCTAAATCTGTGTGACTTCTGGCTACACAGTCAAAATGGAATTTCCTTCATGTCACACCAAGTGAAAGAAAAATTACTTCACAAAAACTTTTTTTGGTCTGTGAATCCCCTCTGCAGGAGTCGTAAATGTTGCATGCTACAGTACCACGTTTGTTGGCACAATGTTACATTCCAACGGCTGCAAGCCCAGGAGTGTTAAGTTACTCTGAGCACAGATTCAGACGTAACTGGGACAAGATGATATGCGATGCAAATGCCATTTCAAGAGTTTCAGCAGAACAAAATAGTAATATGTTAACAAATGCCATCAATATAAAGATGATTAACGAATTGTAAATATTCTAAAAAGTTTGCAGCACTGACAAAAGCGAGAAGTATGTGGAAACTCTGCATTCTCTGCATCAAAACGTTGCTTGGCATCTGGGATTTTATGAATTCAATCCGACAGAGAAGCACTAAGATACAGAAATGGAACGCATCTATCTTTCAAACTTTGCAACTATGGATTAAAAATGTTTGTGAGAATAGAGAGACATGGAGAAGAAGAAACTACATAGACGATCTTAGCCAAGTGGGCAACATGCCAGTGTAACTGTAAAAATGTTACCAGGTGAATTTGCTTCCTGTTTCTCCGCCTCCTTCCTTTTTTGGCATGTGTTTAGAGTCCTAATTCTCCTTTTTCTGCTACTCCCAGCCCCTTTCTCTCTCCTGTCCCAGAGTGCACCCCCCTCCTCCTGACCTCCTCGCCTCCCTCTCTTCACTCAACCTTTTCTCTGCTTCAGCCCTCAAGGGTCCCCATTTCCCATTTCTTACCCTTTTAACCACTCTCTGTCTTCATACCCCCTCCTGCCTTCTCTATCCACACATGCCAACCAGGCTGTTTTTTTCATACCCACAACCTCCTCTACTTCATGCCCTACGTGTGCAATATTTTCACAGTCAAATCACGCAGAAATGCAGTGTAATTGTGCCAATGTCAGCTATCCTTCTTTCTCTTGCTCTTTCTTTCTCTCTCCCTTCCTCCACCCCCAAGCAGGCCTGTCTGAGTGTCTAAGCGGTGAAAGACTACTCCACTATGAAAAACGTCTGGGGTGATTCATAAATGGGGCGTCTCATGTCAAGTTCCAAATTCCTCTCATACTTTGATCATCATCCATATACAGTGACACACTTTGATGGATGTCACTTAATGGTTACAATCCTTAATAAAGCCATGTAAAAAAATTCACAGATTCACTGCACAACAAGGCAATTTCACTTTCACTGATTTTATACTGTGTGCGATGAAATAAAGATGATGCAACTCAGGGGAAACAGAAAGATGGAAAATACCTCTCTAGGCTGAATCTACAGTACCAGCTTATTTTCAGCATGTGCCAAAGCTGCCCGGTTTCAATATCAAACATGTGTCTATCACCTATGCCACATCTCCAAACAAGGGTTACATTGCCGTAATGTTTGTAATTTTAGAGAGCGCGGCTCTAATCTGCTGAAATATGCATGTGTTCTTCCCAGGTGAGAGCAATGCTCCATCCTACACTAATCTTCTTTGGTTGACGCCAGCCTCGTATACAGAGATGGCAAAATGAATGTTGCCATGGGAACCTTTTGCCTGGCAACCCCAACACCCTGGCAACTAGCCAAACTGTTGCTATGGCACAGCTGTCAATTTACATATGCTAGGATTGGCGTGTATCTGGCCTCTCGCAGCGCCTCCCTTTCAAAGTTTCCAATCAAATGCATGATGGAAGAATTTATCTGTGTGTGTTTGTGTGTGTGCATGGTGAGGTTGTCCGGTAACAAAAAACTATTTTGCCAAATAAAGCAGCACAGAAGAAAGTAGCATCCTGAAATGTGGTTGCATCTTATATCATACTTTTGTATTTCAGTATAAAAATCTAATTTTAGATGAGTCATAAATTAGTTTGAGATCTTAGCTTTTCTATAGTACCTGGGCAGCTGGAGCATTAACTGACTGTGTGCAAGCATTATTGAATTTTTGGATAAACACGACTTGATAACCTTTAATTACCTTGTGAGATCATTTCTTGCCAAATAATCCACTTAAGATAAAAGCTCTTTATGGCATTACATCCAAAGGCTTAAATCAGACAACAAATGTTCGTATGTGTGTGTGTTTTCATTTTTGCAGGGCTAGTCCTTTGGCTTACAGCCTTTTAAAAAAGTAATTTGAGATACAGAGACGATGGTTGAATTTTGGTGGACACACTCATTTGAACTTTTCGCTGAAAATGCATGGTGTAATAACGTGTGAGGTTAATGTGTGGACAATAGAGAACAAAATAACATTTTTCTGATTTCAGTGAATGGAAAGCAGTGTACCAGTGTGACAGATACCTGCTAGAAGACTAAAAGGAAGTAGGTAAATACATCTCTATCAAAGTTTCTCAAATCTAACAGTTTATAGTGATGCAATACATACAGCTAAAGCATTGAGGAGCAGAACAAATGAAAAGAACAAATGAAAAGTACTGTCGGTGCAAGTTTTGTTTAAGTTTTTTTTCAAAGTCCTGATAATAAGTGGATTAAATCAGTGGAATTTCACGACATTGTGACACTTTTATTAGTTGCCAAAAGTTTGAATCAATCAGTCAATTATCTGCCAGTATTTAATTTGAGTGTATATTTAACAGGGACAATACAGATAAATATTGTTGCATACGAAAAAGAAACGCAACAGATGTATGGTTAAATGATGATGGTTAAAACAATTAAACAAATAGATACAACAGAACATATAAAATGTGCATGTGTTACGTATTCTAAATTACTGTGAATGCACTGATACAGGTACGCGCATGTGTGTGTGTGTGTGTGTGTGTGTGTGTGTGTGTGTGTGTGAGCTTAAGTTTACATTGTAGATGGATGGATAAGTGAAATGAATGAAAGAAAAATTTGTTACCTTGAGTTTATTCCCTTGTCAAAGTATGCCAGGGATTCCTCAGACATGAAGCGGAGGCTGACTGAAACACACACACACACACACACACACACACACACACACACACACACACACACACACACACACGTTAGAGGAAGACAAGCTGGCCTTGTGAATAGAAAGACTGTTTAACCAAGAGGTCGCAGGTTCAGTCTCTGCAACAGCTGAAGTGTCAGTGGACAAGACCACGCTACCGACTTACTCATGAAGCATGAACAGCATCAGCTCCAAAATGCCACTTTGGGAATATTAAATACATAAACTGGAATAATCAGCTGCAGCCCAAATGATGCAATTAAATAACCAATTATCATCACATAAAATACAACAAGAGATGAATCAATGTCTAACTTTTGTAATAATTCTGACACACAGAGTAGAGGGACCAACTGTTCACGCTGCAGAATAAATTACATTATAATTAGCCTAATTTAAAAAGCTGCACTCAAAGCTCAAATGTTTTGCTTTGCTTTTTGAGTGCTGCCATTAATAAATGTTTGGATGTTTACCAAACTTACATACTTGTTTGCTCTTTGCCGCAAGGATTACAACTCAATTAGACGCTATGATTTCAGTGTACACTGTAACGTGACATTCTGTTTCATGTTATTTTTTTAGATCAACATTTGAGGTTGTTTAAATCATGATATCTGAAAGCCATCTCAGTGCGCACATGCGTTCTGTAGTGTGGACAAAGCAATGCACCAGCTTGGAGTGCTAAGCCTCCTGCTCCGGTTTGATAAATATAACTTCAAAAGAAGCAGCCAAACAGCTTTAGACACAATGAGCATAATAACTCCCCACCCCCTGGGAGCTCCAGCCTAGTTCATTTACCCTCGCAAAGCGCTGCCATGTCTGTATGTGCACATGTGTCTTTGTTTCACTGCGAGCCTCTTGAAGGCTCCCCACCTTCTGTTCTGTACAAAGCGGATGTATAGAGGAACCTTTTGTAACCTCCTTTTTACAGAGGAAATGCATCCCCCTCCCTCTCCTCCCTTCTATTTGCCCCTCACATGTGATGCCTGATTGACCACAGCACCCCTTAAAGAGGTCAAAGGGCAGACAAAACAGTCTGGTGTCATGGTAACATGTGTGCCACCAACCAGAATGGTAAGGGGGAAAGCAGGGGGTTCAATGAGCTGTCAGTCAAACCTTTAAGAATGCTGCCTTGTGTTGAGGCTTATGTGTGGACAACATGCAAACACTAATACACACACATAATGCACCTGCACTATGAAAATCACCGCAGAATAATCAAGCTAAATCCATCCGTGCAATGCAGATAAGTGTAGTACCTATGGGGTATCAGATGGTATGCATGTATGTTTGCCGCTGCTGCACGTGCACGCGCCTGTGAGTGTGTGTTGTTTGTGCACACAGGAGACACTCCTGTGTAAAAGGTTCTTTGTGACCGCTCAATGCAGTGGCAGTGTTTACGTGATGGGGGAGGGGGAGAACGGATAAATGGGAAGCAAATGCATTCAGATCAATACTAAGCTGAGAGAGGGTGAGTGGGGTTGAGAAGAGAGAGTGGAAGGTGGTGAGTAGAGTGGGAGGGGCCACAGCGGGACTGATTAATCATTCCTGTATTGTTATTGACTATCTGTTAAAGGGGGTGAGTCAGACTCTGAATTATGTGTTTGTGTGTATATGTGCGTATATGTGTGTGTGTGTGTTTGTGTGTGTGTTGTGCGGTGTTCATTGAGAGCACAAAGTCATCAATTACAGTGCATGGACTTCCCAGAGGTTTGGCACTGTAGGTAGTTTAGTTGTGCTCTGACTAATTGGTAGCATGTAGTTACAACTTTTAGGTAGATAGTTTGCATATTGAGCACAATAAACATTAAGGATTTAATTATTTATGTTTTGTAAAAAAAAAAAGGGGGGGGGGTGCTGTTCCATTTTGAACAGGAACAGGGCAGCGAAGAAGGCAAACAGAAAATCCCCTGTGACGAGTTAATAAGCAGCGGACGACCGAACAGACACAACTGAGAGGTAGGGAGGCTGTTAGAGGTGGAGGAGGGGAAACCCTGCCCTGAGATCTGACCCTCTGGCGGTGACCTTGTTCATTGTCTGAGAGGGCAGAGAGTGGACACACCTGAGCACTGGCCACGTGCGAGCACAACCACACACTGGGGACATCTCCTTGACTTAATGCATTCCTTAGCTAACTTAACCCTTGCCCTAACCCTAACCTTAACATAATTCTAACATGAACACTAAAGCCAAGTCTTAAACCTCAAACTGCCCTTTAAAGCTGGTTGGTCACCATAAGTATATTAAATCCTGGGTTTTTGGACCCCACGAGCATAGTACAATAAACACACACACACACACACACACACACAATATTTTAAGATACATTCCAGCTATTTCTTTTAAACCAAACAGCCAGCAATGCTACGCCCAGTCCACACCACCCCTGATTAAATACATTAAATTGACATAATTTGTTAACAATTATAACAGCATGACACCAATGTCATGACACCAATGTCATGACACCAATGTTAGACGTTACCAAAGACAGTGCTTTCCTCTAATTACGACTCTTTTAGAAACAGCAGATTATCAGAGGAGGGAGGGCTGAGCTAAGTGAATGAGAACCACATTCAGTGTTACCTTGAACTTGAACAATGAGTCTGGTGTTTGTGCTGGGGCCACTTCCTGACCTTTCTATCCCTCTGTGGAAGCAACCACCCGCAGCCTCTCCTTTCATCTTACAGATGACGACCCACGCTGACCAAAGAACAGCCAGCAATGACGAGGTTTTATGTCCACTACTCACTTCTGAATCTTTGAAAGTTTGTTTGCTGTGATATTTTATATATTGATGTGTCACTTCACTTCAACCAGTAGATATACACAAGCATACTCATTCTTATTGCTTAGGAACTCCTCAGGGTGCTGATTATTTTCTAATAATTCACAGAGCAGACAGACAATAAACAAATGGTTCCTCTTCCTCCTCCCCATCACCTTCCTTTTTCCTTCCTTGCTCCCTCAGATGCTTTCTCTCTTGCTTTTTCACCCACTTGTCTCTACCTCAAAGATGGCTTGTTTCTTTACACCTTCGTCTTTTTCCCCCCTTCTGTCTTCACACCGTACCCACCTCTCCTCCTCTGTGTCATACTCTCTCCTCCTCTCTGTCTGGCACCAGAGAGCTGGCACACTCAAGGGTGCCGTTGTGTGACGCGGGTAGCTGACACCTCCGACGCCACTGCAGAGCACGCGTATCACAGCAAAGGATAATGGAGAGCCATCCATATGCTACCAGAGGAGACAAAGTGACACTTAAAGCCTTCATTTACAAACTATATACTGTTTTATGGCTCATTATTCACTTGTTCCATTATTTTTCAAACGACTGATAAATAACTTGTTTTGTATACAAAACAAGTTATATATATAAGTTTTTATATATATATATATATATAAGTTTATATATATATATTTATCTATATATTAATATATAGATAAATAGATAGATAGACATACAAAGAGTGATGAGAGTGAAAGGTATTAAAAATTATGTTTGGCAATTTGCTTGATAAATGAAAAAGCTACATTGAGCAGTTAGCTTAGTACAAAGACTGGAAACAAGTGCAAACAGTTCAAAGGGAACAAAATATACCTACAAGCGTATCCAAAGCTAAGTGATTAACACATGTTTGTTTAATCCACAAAAAAAGGGATTTGTCACCTTCAAACAGACGCTAGCTTTCCCCCTGTTGCTAGTCATTGTGCTAAGCTATAAGCTACCTGTCTTGACTTTACACGAGCAAGACAGGTAAGTGACAATCCTGATATCTGATACGATGCGAGCAGCGATTGCGTGGGGAAGTGGGGACTATTTCCTGGTCCACTGTTGAACTAACACATGAGAAGATATGAATAGACAATGCCTGATGCCATAAATCATACATGACTGACGTACTTAAGAGGCCAGCTGTAGAGAGCCTTGTGCTAGAATTATCCCACTCACACACAGGTTCACTATCTCTCGCTTTTTACCCAACCCCCAACTCCTGAGGCTCTTTAGATGTCTCACAGACATCTAAAGAGCCTGAGAGGAGAGGGGAGATGGTGAGGATCAAACTTGAGACAGAACATAGAAGAAAAAGACACGAATCAAGAACGAGACAGACATAGAACGTGGTGACAAAGACAGAGATCAAATGCGAGATGGAGCGGCAGAGGCAGAGGGAGACAGAGACACGGGGGAAGAGGGAAAAGAGGGGAATGAGATAGTTTGGTGAAGTAAGAGGCAACGCTGAGACCTACTAATGGAGAACTGAGGAATTCTCACTGCTGACTCCAAACACATTCCTACAGCCTGCAAATATTAACCCCCACCTCACCACCTCTGCCTCCATCTGAATGCATCTGAAGGCAGCCACCTGGCCCCGCCATGAGGAAATTATTCATTGATATCAACTCGGTTATATTTAACACACTGCAGTGGCAAAGCAGAAAAAAAAAATTATAATATTGAACCCAGTACAGCTAGTGGTAATTTGTACTCCAACACCCAGAAATCACATAACATGATCTAGGCTATCAGTTGACTGTGGAGAGAGACTCATGCCCACACAGATCACAATTGTATTAAGGCAAACAAGGAGAACGTTTGGGTCTGTTGCAGAGGGGGGATGTATATCTGCTCTCTTGAGCAGTACAATTTTGAGATTCAGACCGATCATGTACAGATATTTACATAAAAAACATACTTAAGTGTAAAATAAATTTACTTTTAGTAACCATTCAATGTTCAGTAAAAACCTGCTTGTTTTGGGGATATAATGTATCAAGTTAGAGGCCAGCTGGATTTTTCTAATAAATGTGTTTCTATGTGTGTTATTTTTTTAGATTGCTTTTTGGAGTGTTGTTTTACTTTAATTAATAGCATTTGTTCACAAGGTAGACAGGAAATGTGGGGAGAGAGAGGGGCAACAAAGGTTCTTGACCAGATTTGACTTGAACAGTTTGGTAGGACAGAAGGTGTCCTATGCTGTACATGTTGGAAAGCCCCTTGAGGCAAATTTGTGATTTGTGATATTGAGCCATGTAAATAAAATTGACTTGACTACAAGTTTTAGACCTTAGGCTCCCATGAAGCCGAAACTGACTGAGTTGAGTGTATGTAATGGCGGCACTGTTTCTAAAGTACCTCAAAAGATAGATTTGGCATGTTTGTAAGTACTGTGTAGCATATACTGAGTATAATCAAGCACAGAAGTGTCAAAGATCAGCAAAAGACACTATTTACCAGTGGAAGATGTGTTTTTATCTTCTACTTAAGTAAAGGTTGGAGTACTCTACTTTAAATATATGCAAAGTAACAAAATATTCTAGTATCAAAAGTAAAAGTACTAATAATACCGAATGGCCGAGTATTATATTATTGTATATTTTATGATATTGGATTATAATTGTAATTTATGTATTAATATGTAAAGAGCTTGTCAATGTATATCATTATAACATTGGGTGGTTTAATCTATAACAATGCAGCATATTTATAAAATAACCACATGTTTAAGTAATTAGCAACTATAACTGTCAGATAAACGCAGTGGATTCAAAAGCGCAACATTTCAAAATGTCTAAAATTGTATCAACGTAGACAAAAGCATCTACCGTAATCATCTTACACTATATCAACATTGCCCAGCAACTGACAATAATATGAAGACATGAACCTCCTGCAACTGGAACAAAATAGAAGAATACAAGAACTTCACTCAGCCAGAGATCAAAAGTGGTAAAACTTTGTACTGTTTGCGATAGAGAAAAACATTATCAGCACTGTGCTTATGATGCTTATGAAGTAGGAAAGCCCTATGGGTATCCAGATGGAGCTGTCTCAGCTCCAGCCCCATTTCAGCCCCATGTCCTAGAGAAGGCAGACAAACACTGATGCAACTGGAACACTGAGTCCAGGGGGAATAGCTCTCACTCAGACCGTGAGAGAGTGTTAGTACATCCACAGTGGTCACATGGCGCAGTGCTTTCTCTCCACACCAGGCCCCGCTCACTGCCTGTTGTGTGTGGCCCTTTTCCCGTCTCTTTCACACCAGAGCTACATAATTGATAGCGAAGGCCGAGTTACGTTTTTATAAAGTGAAACACATTAATGGCTTCCTCTACAAAATTTTGATGTGCTGGGATCAGTAAGTGGTGGCCTCAAGTTGAAGAGGTTTTAAATAACCGATACATTCATTGTCAGTACAATAAGCCAGGGTAATCCATTATTTCTGCCAAAGTATTCAGTATTGTAACAAAGAAGTGGTGCTTTGGAGATGTACTGAATGCCTCAACTGCTCAAATGGTTCAAGCTTATGATATAATCAAGTGTCTTAAGGCCACAAAAGAAATCACTGGGCTTCATTCATTAAACGTTTCTTAGTTTCAGTTTTCAATTTGTTTGTGAAAATTGAGCAAGATTCGATTCATAAAATGTGTACAAACCAGTTATTTAAAGTGTTGCCGAACACTTGATGTTAAAGTTCCTTTTGAAGGAATTTGTCATTCAAATAATTAATGGTCAAAGCTGTGTGCAAACTAACAGCAGGCTATTTCATTGACAAGCATCAACACATGTAACCATGGATTTCATGCAACACAAAAAACTGAATATGTGTAGAAATTTAAAACAAAAGTGGTTTGATACCAAAAGAAAGTCTATCAGCTGTCCGGTGTATTTGGGCCACTGGAGACAGACAGCTTCTAAACTGCTGACCTCGATGAGCTCTGTGGATACATTAACTGTAGTGACTACACTTTTAGTGCAGGATAAAGTGCCAAATTACGCTCCCACTGCTGGATAACACCACACTGCTCACTAATTCAGGCATTAAGGTTAGTATGCTGCATAGTTATCCAGCAGAAATATTTTTAGTGCAAACAATTCACTGTTTCTGACTTCTCAAATGTGAATAGTTGTTGCTTTACTTACTTTTCCATGATAGGAAATATCTTTGGGGTTTGAACTGTTGGTCAGCTTGGGCTTTGAAAAAAAATCGTGAATGTGGTAAATAGCTAATTGCCTGAATAGCTGAAATTAATAAGGAGTTAATGGTGTTCACTTGAATTCAAATGGTTGAGGTGACTTCATTACTCAAGTTCATCTTTTAGCTTCAAGGCTCCAAGCACAAGTCAAGATCTGTGCACATGAATGAGACCAATGAGCAACTAAGCATCTCTGTATTTGACACGATACATAGGATACTATGATAACATATGTAATACAATTTGTCAGTGTTTGACAAACCATAAATTTTTTTTTAAATTAATTGCTCAGTCTTAACTAGTTCTAGCTATGTACGTTGAACATTAACCTTCTCTGCTAGCCGGCCTTTGCTAAACCCAGTCTACAGGTGCAAACCAGCCACCAATCATCAAGGTCGGCTGACACTGGTTCTATTAAGCTTCGAGTTAAACCTGCATTCAGACACAACCATCAAGACTACCATCTTCCCTGCAGTCAACCTTTGATCTACCGATCAGGGAAAACCTATTTCTGCCCTCTGCCAAATGGCGCACCCTGGCACAGAGGCAACCGGGGTATCTTTGTGAGTTTGTTTGCATGCAGGTGGCACAGAGACTGAGAGCTCATCTCAGGTCTCCATGGAGACGGACAGGCTTGTTAAGAGCTTGGATAGGTGGAGAATATATCACAAGGATGAGGTGAAAGCTGCATGGGCACAAAACTATAAAGGTTAACTGTTTGTCTCAAGCGAACATGCGGGGGAACACACAGTTACTTGCTGATATTAAACAATGGAGTCTAGGCTGAGAACAAACAGGACAGCAAGGATGAGGTGAAAGCTGCATGGGCACAAAACTATAAAGGTTTTTCAGAGCAGTAAGTTAGGTGTAAGTGGACGCTGAGAGACATACAGATTGGCCATGTGCAGTGTAACAGGGACACATACTGAGACTACAAACAAACAGCAAGGGGAAGTAGAGGGTGGGACGTGTCAATTCCAGAGTAGGGAGGATGATTATTCAAATACTTTGTGTCATTTGTTAACAGTTTAATTTCAGCTGCAACTAAAAAAAATGGGCAAAAACAGACCCTCTCTAGCAGAATACTAAATACATGTAAAGATTTAGTGATAGACAAATAAAATGGCACAAAAGTGAGTGCCCTGACCCCGTTCTTCCTTCCTCTTCGTCCTCCAAAACTGGGCCCCAAAACCAGCCTGAGTCTTTGACTAACTCTGAGCTTGACTGATCTGTTTCAGCAAACATACATATTCTGTCAAGAATATATTGGAGATAAAAGGCATAGCCGGATTATGGGAGAGGTGTGGAGACATGCAAAAATGTGTGTGGAAGGAAAATGACTTTATGTACACAAACCAACAAAATCAACCAACAAAAACCATAGCCGAGATCAACACAGTCGAGAAGAGATAAGATAATACAGAAATAATGTGGGTACATAATATATTTTTCCTTCTAAATAACAGAAGAGAATTAAAGCTTATGTTGCAAAGGTCAGCTCCCTTTTCTTTTTTTTTACCTTTTCCCGCGTTTCTTTCCCGATTCCAACTTGATTCCTCCTCTCTGTCCCCTCTTCCTCTCACTCGAGTTAGTGCCTTCCGTCTTGACTTGGAGCCTTGCATCTCTATTTCACTCCCAGTCTCGTCACATTTTATCCGCTGTTGCCCCATCTTCTTTTTCTCAGACACCATTTCTCTTTTCTTTCACCCCTCCACGCTCAGGACTTTGGAATGGAAATATGCCTTATGGACAAACGGATATCAATACCGTGAGGAAAAGTACAGGATTAGTACTTTTTCCTCCTCCAGCGTTGTGCTGGAGCTATGCAGAACAGGTTCCACCGTAGGACAAACACACAAAAGTCTGGCTGGTGCAGAGAGAGCTGAGAAAACGGAGAATGCAAGAGAAGGAGGGAGAAGGCATCAGTCATCGTGCGTGTGTGTGTGTGTGTGTGTGTGTGTGTGTGAGTGAGTGTGCATGCATGCAGGGTAGGAATGAAGGAGAGGAGAGAGGGAGGGACAGAGATTGAAAGAAAGGAAGGTGGGAGGGAATAGGAGTATACGTGGAGAGAGGAAAAGGGGAGGAGACATTTTTTTTCTCCATTTTCCTGTTCACGTTTTTTTTTATTCTCCCCTTTTTTGTGTAATGACCCCTATACTGTCTCCGTGTACATTACTGTCTTGTCAATAGGTCATTATTCTGTCTTTCCACCACTGTTTTCCCCTTGTCATATTCCCCTTTGTTGAAGTCAGCTGTGTCTTTAAGCCCGTGCACTTGAACTCAGAGAGTGCTTTTCCTTCTCTGTGTACTTCCCCTCTGCCGGCCCCCCAGCACACAGGAAGGAGACACAGCTTGCAGGAGAGAAAGAGAGAGAGAGAGAGAGGGAGAGAGAGAGAAAGAGAGAGAGCAGGAACAGAGGGGCAAAAAGGGGCAGAGAGAGAAATGCAGATGGGGGAGGGGAAAGGTTTGTCAATGGTGTTTCAAGGCTGTGGAAGACTTGGAAATTAGTTCAAGAAATACATCAGATGTACAATGCATAAACATCCAACATATTTTAATAAGAGAGAGAAAGTTTTCTCATTGTTGTTGAGGGCTGAATCCATATTAATCCATATTAAAAGCATATTTAATGTGTTAGTGGGAAAGGTAGAAGAAAAGACTGCTGTTGAAATATTGATTTGCTGTATAAATTATGCCCATGTGTTTGTAACATCATGAAAGCGTACAGTTGAGAAAGTGCAAGCTTAAGGTCAGACCATTAAGCAGAACCTCACATATCGGCACAGAATCTCCAAGGTAACGGCTGACATTCAGGTGAAATGTTTCATAATAAGACAACTCGTTCACGTCGTGGGTCATAGAGTGGACTACTACACCAGCTTATGCTTTTATGTATTTGGCCATTTTTTTTATAAAAAGGAAAGAGTGGGTAGTACACTCACCTTGACTTATTTAATTGTTGAGACAGCAGAGGGGGAGACAGAGGGGAGTCAGGAGCTCTGGCAGGATTCAATCGGAGTCCAGCGGGGACACACGGTAAACTGAATCACCCGGAGCCTCTCACAGTACAGACCTGCATATGTTATATTGTTCTACATTATAGAAGTACTCCCTGAGCATTTACGTATGCAGTAGCAGAGCTTGCACAATAGACTTCAGGTTCATGACCACGTTTACATGTCAAAGTAGCATGTCACTGCAGGGCATTGTGTAACTTTGAAGCAAAAGATGAAACAAAACAACAGAAAATAAAAGAATAGATTTAGATAGTTTTTCCAAAGCCCTAACAGACAAATGTGCCTTCATTAAGTTGTGCTTTTTGGTAATAGGAAACATAATCGATCATTTTCGAGTAATTTCCTTAAGATTCCTGGAACAAACTATGCAATTTCTTATTGATCACGGCAAAAATCTGTTAATTTATTCTAGTTAGTTGCTACTGTAAACTGGACAATCTTCAAATGTTAAATTTGTCAACGGGAAAGCATATAATTCAACATACGCTGACATATTTAACATTTAATTGGCTTTAGGAAGTCCCTATACTTTCCCTAAATGTAATACCAAATAACATTGTCCTTCCAGGTATCTTCTTGGGAAATTATTTTTAAATTACAGACCAGGAAAAAGAATGTATTATGAAGTTAAACAAAGAGATAATATACATAACAAAGATAGTCCCAGTAAATCCCAGACTTTTCCAGCTCACTTCCCAACAGCTGGATGTTTCACATTCACTTTTGAGTATCAAAACACGAGCAGTGAGCATGGGAAAAAATCTGGGGGATTCAGGGGATTGTATCTTTGAAAATATTTTTAAAAAACAGGAAAAGCAATTAGCTTTTTGAATAGAAAGCAGAAGTTTGGTAAAAGCAAGGAATCACTTGAAACTTGTTTTTTTAATTAATAGCCTATTTATTAAACAATTATTGATTTATTTGTTACTTATATTATTCTTTATCCTTTTCTGTATTGTATTGTTTATTCCTAATGCCCTTGGTTAAAGACGTAATTTACGATGTGTTTAGACTGCAACCATGTGAACCAAGGAGAGGGGCGGAAATATAGGCAATTAAAAAGTCGCCAACCAAATTAAATCTAGTGAGAAATTACTTTCTTGATGACTTAATCCTGTCTAAGGCTTAGATCAACAAGATATAAGAGTGGATGTAAAGCTGTTCTATCTACAAAGAAAACACGAGGGAAGGAAAATATCAACATGACCTGCACATACAGCACTTGAACCCTGATAGAGAAGGGCCGTCTGCAAAACTGAAATAAGCCTGGGAGACTTTTCTCTCCAAATATTCTTATTTAAGAATTAGTGAAAAAACTTGTGAAAAATGGTGTTTACCTGGAATTAACAGATTAGAAATATCAATTGTGTGAATTAATGCAATATCTGTTTGTCCCTCTCACCATAGCTCATTGGTTCTTGACCTTTTGTCTCGTGTGTGCCAGACAATGTCTTCTAGAGGATAAAAAAGCTCTGCAGTTTCTTACACCTGTAGAGAGCTTCATGGCATCTTTGTGCTTTCTGTTCTGATTCTTTGGCCAACAATGTCACTGTTTTCCCCTCTGCTCACATCAGCGGTGTGTTCAGGCCCCAGCAGGAAGCAGACAGACACAGTTAGCAGCTAGCTGGTGAACATAGTGGAGCATTTAGCAGGTAGAGAGCCAGGTATTCCCTCAGGAGTTGGTGGAGACCAAAAGCAGAGCTAAAAGAAAGTAAATATTATACTTTTATTCACCAGGTAGCCAGAAACATGACTCCAACTGAATGACAATGTTGCTGTGTAACTGCTTAATGTGTAAATACATAAATAGTAGGTCAGGAGTGAATGTTGCCCCTCAAACATAATTTTGTGGAGTAGAAGAAGAAGAAGTTTTCTTCTTATCTTATTAACCATCTCGTGACTTCTTGGAGGGTTCATACCCCCAGGTTGAAAAACACTGCTCATACAGCAGTTGAAGGGCTGTTTCTGTGATTCTATAACAAACATGTACAGCATTTAAAGCAGCTGGGACTGAGTGTCTCTCATATTTTCTCAGCATCTAATTCAGCATTAGAATAATTTCTGAATTTCTGCTGTTTTAAGAACTAACCTGACCGATTAATGTGATTACACTGATCTTAAAAATGCCTTAATAGGAAAAGGGTGTAAAATGTTCATGAAAAGCTTCTGTCTACCTGCTGTGAGTTGCCTGCAAAGCGCTAAACTGAGAAAAGCTACCTTTTTCAATCTACAAAGAGAACACTGGTCTAATGCATTGCAAATACAAATAGGTATCGACCCAGTGAGAGGTGAAGAGGAGGAGGGAGGGAGGGCAGATGATAAAGGTCAGAAGAGGTGTGTGCTGCATTTGCTCATATCTTTTATCAAAGAGGCAAATATATGTTCCATACTTAACCACATTATTGGCGACCAGAGAGGACGGAGAGAGACTGGATGCAACGAGAAACACTTCTCTCCCTTAATGCAGACAAACCATTCCCCAAGCCCAAGGACAGTCATTACCTGAGGGGAAACAGGCAGCATGTGTGTTAGGGGAAGAGATGCTTATGCTGGCGCTGATCTTGAAAGGGCCTGGCCGATCGATCGCATTAAGCTCCCTGCGAAAGCGAGAAATCAATATGTTTTTAAAGGCGAAGCAGGCTGCATGTGGTGTATGCGTGTGGGCCTCATTGATACTGCCAGGCGTGTTCAGAGAGAAGCTGCTCCTGAAAAAGAACGATCACATTTTGAGATCAAGTGGTTTCATTTCCAACGCTTATCTACAAAATCACAACACTTGTGAGAAATATGTACATTAGAAGTGTGTGTGTGTTTGTGTGTGTTTGTATTATGTCCCAGTTTGGGTTCCCATTATCAGTGCAGAATACTGGCCAGTGTTGGAAGAGCAACAAATAACACACTGACGGGGAAAATCAATAGTTTTCAGATGGAGAAAGTTGGGTAGAAGCTGTGAGGTCTGGGGAGCTGTATCAGGATTAGAAAGAAAGAAAGAAAGAAAGAAGCAGAACGACCTGTGATTCTTTGAGAAAATGAATTAGACTGTAATGGAATCAGTCTTATGGTTAACAACAGGAATTACCTACAGAGGTTCAACACAAGGAGATGGAGTGCAAATGTCAACAACAGCAAACGGGTGAGAAAGACATACAGAAGGGAAGACAGAAAAGGCAATTTAATGTCCATCAGTCGTCAAAACAATGCCAATCTATACTAAAGACACCCACTCTTCAATGCTTTCTACCTCTCTCATGCCAGTCATGCCTCTCTTTCTCTTTATCCATCTATTTCTATCTCTCACAGCAAACAAAAGTCCAAATGGACAAACAAAGAAGCCAAGTGATTAATGAGTAAATGAAAGAAAGGAAAGGAATGTGTAACACATAGAAAGGAGGATAGGAGAAATGAAAGAGGCGCCCGAAAGTCTTGATATAATAATCAGCCAATAACTTGTCATTAAATGTTTACTTTATTTCTCCTAGGCGACCACATGAGACTGCAGAACTTACTACATGCTTTAAGAAACATGTAACCAACATTTTTAACTGGAAACATTTTGAGAAAAGAAACCAGCCTGCCCTCTAGTGATCGCATAGACAAACAAACACTGTCTGGTCTGAAGTGAAACGCAAACACATGGATCGATATAATATAACTACGTAACCGACATTTACTCAAGAATTGTACTTTCATACAATTGTACAATTTTGAGGCTCTCATATTTTATTGCAAATTCAGATTGTACATACAAAACATTTGATTGGCTTATGAAATATGATGCATTGTTATACTGTTGTTATAGTGCTCCAACAACCCAGCAATTAATTATTATTATATATTCTATTTCTACATATAGACAGATAGATAGACTGCAGATTTAATGGTTATTAGAAAGCATCAGTATTTACTGATGGATTAGCAACATTTATAACTGCACTGTTTTTGTAAATTGTACTAATGGCAAAGTTAAAAGGAAGTTTTTCTTTGCCTCTGTTGCCTAGTGCTTCCTCTTGGTTGGAATTGTCGGGCTTCTGTACAGTCTAGACCTGCTCTTTTATGAAAAACGCTCTGAGATAACTGTTATTGTGATTTGGCGCTATATAAATTTAATTTAATTTAATTTAATTAACTATGTATATTTTCTAAAGTACTTAAGTACTTTCTTGACGTATTTCCAGTTGCATTTTTATACATCTACTCTGCTACATAGCAGGAAAATATTGCACTTTTTACTGACTTTTTGGCAGCTATAGTTATTGGTTACTTAGCAGGAATATTTTATTATTTAATTTTACCTCCAAAACAAAAAGTAACAATTAAAACGGGATACAATGATGTAGATGAGACTACCGAACAATCTAGTATAGCCTAACATAAAAAGTAGTTTGCTCCACTTGATCCAGCTACAATATTTGTACTTTATACTGCATTACAATATTTGTACTATATACTGCATTTATTAAACTACTTGAGTTTCACACTGTAAGTATACATTTTGAAATTGAAGCTTTAGCTCGTTATGTTGAGTAAACTTTTGAATGTAGGATTGTTACATGTGACAGACAACAGATAGTGTAGTAGAAGTAGAAAGTTAAGTAAAAGTAGTAGCCTAATTAATACTTCTGCTTAAGTAAAGGATCTGAGTACTTCTACCCAACACTATTAAATACACAAGTTATAATAACTTTTAGTGTTTCCATTCTGTGTCATGCTTCAATTCTATAACTCCTCATACTATTTCATATTTACACGTTCTGTCTCTGCATGACCAGGTCCCATGTTGGACTGAATTTTTTTGTTTTCTTGTGTTTTGTGCAAGTGTGTTTTTAATAGGCACTTTATGACAGAATAACCAAGGCGAACACCAGACAAATGATTTTTTTCGCCAGTGATGTCATGTACATTTACTCAAGTTCTGAATTTAAGTAAAATTTTGAGGTACTTTTCTCAAGTATTTTTTCTTTTCTGCTACTTCCCCACTTGATTTCAAAGGGAAAAAAATTACTTTTTACTTCACTCCTTTGATTTGACAGCTGTACCACTGTGCACTTTCCAGATTCAATTAATACACATTTGGGACTTCAGGGGCTTACTCAAGGCCTCCTTCGGCAGTACCCAGGAGGTGAACTGGCACCACTATCCACGCTCCACAACTCAGGTCCGAGCTGGATTCGAATCGGCGCCCCTCCAGTCCGCAGTCTAAGCTTTACGGAATGAGTTACTGCGCCCACCATACCATTACATAAAGAATTCAGTATAATATCACAGATATGGTTTATTTAATGTTTTACTTATGTGAAGGTTTTAATGTACAAAATGTGTATTAACGTTTACTATAATAGACTAGCTTTACATTGTGGTAATTCTAGTTTTACTTTAATAAAAGATCTGAGTATTGTTACACCCTTGTTTTTTTACAACTTGGCAAACAAAAACGTGTTCTTATAAATTATACAACCATTAATTGAGGAATTAATTACAACATACACAGAATTGGTAAAAGGTGCCTTGCTCCTAATCTAAAATAAATAACCTCACTGCTGCCACACACAAAAATAATTATAATAATTATCACAATAAAGGATAAACAAGGATACTACATCAAATGCCATCACAGGATTGCGCAATTATCGTTGTGATTTATAGGCACGAACATACTGTAACAGAGTGAAAACCCCACGCAGCTGTTCACCTTGACTGCCCATATTTGGGCCGGGCGGGGTGTCGCCCTTGCAGGGAGCCAGTCAGCGCTGGCTCACGGCGCTGAGTAAAGGAAGTGAGTCACACTGACGGTAATGTTACGTCTCTGTTGCAGCAGCACCGAGAACAAGGAAGCAACATGTGCTGACCACAATAACTCCAAAACAGCAGAACACACAGGCGCGCAGCCACGAGACAACAGACGTGGAGCCCGAGGACAATCAAGAGACCGTTTTAAAAAGAAGAAACATATAGGCCTATAAATTTATCGTAAGTACCATTTTGTTTTTGGAGTTTCATGTGTCTTTATTTGGAAAACGTATTTGGTTGTGAATGTAGCCTATACTCAAGCAAATGCGCCGCGCTTGTGTTTGTTAACGTTATTATATTTTTGTTTTCTGGGTCTGTCACTGGCTTTTATTCCTTGCTCGATTTATTTTTAATGATTCATTTTTGTTTAACTGGCTTATTAAGCTGGTATTTACCGCACTACAAAAACTTTTTCTAACTACCCAACTTAAAACCGTATCAAAGTAGAACTTTTTCAACTAGACCTAGTCCAACTACAATAATGTCAACTTAACCATGTCAAGTTAACTCGAGAATATAGGCTATCGACTCGACCGAAATAACACCCGTAGGCCTGTTTCCATTCATTTCCACTGGGGGGTTTCCGCGCTGTCAAAAAACCCAAATGTGTTATTTCCAGCATGTCGTTTCCTTTATCACAGCAGAGAGAAACAGACCAGAAAGGGTAAAGAATAGCTCGGCTGTCGTTCGATCTTCGCTTGTTTCTGGTTATTGTGTCCACGAGCAGCGACACGCAAGCACGTGTCCCCTCATCTGATCACGCACGCTTGTGTCTTCAACGCTTTTGTTGTATCTCCTTTGTTTCACGCAGATGCGAAAACAAGTTCACCCGTCACCCAAAGAGAATATCGACGAGACCAGATCAGAAGACCTAAAATGGGTCAAACATCTTCACCTGTAGGCTGTCTGTCAATCGCACCTGTTAAAACCGGATTACACTGGTTGTAATGTGGCAGGCTGCAACTAACAGGAGTTTCTATTATCGATTAATCTGACGATAGATTTTTCTGGATTTAATCAGTTAGTAGTTTGCTCCATAAAATGTCCTAAAAGGGTAAAAAAAAAATCTTGTTTTGTCCACAACTCAAAAATGAATTTTAGATATTCATAAAGGAGAAAGGAAAGTAGAAAACATTCACATTTGAGAAACTGATCTCAGAATATTGACTCAGAATGGTTAATTTATTATCAAAATAGTTGGTGAATAATTTAAAATTTGACAACTAATTGATTAATTGACTAATCTGTGTACCTTTAGTGAAGTTGTGGCACAAGCTGTTAAGTGAGAAAGGATCCAGTTTTTCCTCCCTCACCAACACTTGTGTTCCAATGTTAGTGTATTGAGGAGGACATGCTGGAGTGTAGCACAAAATTCTGGGCCCTGTGCATATGTCTTCTCTATGGGCCCCTCCCCGGATCCACTTCCATGCCCCTGGTCAGTTTGTGTGCAGTACATTGTATGCACAGAGGGGCAACTCTGAGCGCAAATGAGTCAAGTTGATGTCTGTCTTCACAAGTAAAATCAAAACAGTATCAGCAGAGTCTGCGATAATGGCAGTAGGTCACTGCTCAGTAAACAGACTGACAGTAAACAGGGTGAACAGATTGAGAAACTGGCTGGGAACCTTTTTTTAATTTTTTTTTTTAGGGCATTGCTGAAACAATTAAGTTATTGGAGAAAACACACCATCAGTGACATAAATGTCTGTACGTTTCTCTAGTATTCTAGGAACACTTATCATTGTATGATGCAAGGTAGTTGAAAGCATGACTCGTCTTGGCTGATAATTATACTGTTTCAGTAGTGACATGTGTGGTTTAGTCAGTGAACACCTGGCCAAAGGGCCAAAAATATTGTAATGATAATTAGAAGTATTCACTTCCAAAACATCAACTTTCTCAAGGGCAAAGCTCAGTCCTGTTTCAGCTTTGACTTTTTTTTTTCCCCCCAGGTGGACGACCTAACGGGTTTTTAAATGGTTTATTAGTTCGAGTTGGATAACTTTCTGAATCCATACAGGAACAGTTAGAAACAATTAGTCCAATCAATTGATTACCTGTCTGACTGGATTTGTTAGTATGTAATTTTCTTTAGCATAAAAACCACAAAGAAAATCACTGGTTTTTGCTTTTATAAAATCTGAATAATTATTTGTTAGTCCTCTATTGTACAAACTGAACTTTGTTGGACATAACAAGGTTAAACAGCGATTAATCAAGACAATAATGGTCAGTGATGAAAATCCTACTTTGCTGTTCAGTTTATGAGAAACGGTCACCAAAGTTGGAGATGCATGGTCTTAAACAACTCAAAGAATAATGTTAATTGATGTTATCACAATGACATATTGCAGGATACTGTAACATAAAACCTATTATTTAAACCTAGTATTTCTTAAGATATTTTTCTGAATTTTATTTTCTGAAACATTTGAAGCCAAATTTAGTGTTCTATCCCCGATTTGGATCCTATTCAGCACTAACTTTTCGACCAAAACACTTTGACACGTCTAATAAAAGCTCTGTCAGATAAAACACTGTCAGTTTTGAATTGGTCTCTTTTAATGCAGCATTTGGAGGAATTCAAGCACGATGGCTGCCTTAACATTCCTCAAATTTGTAGCAAAAAACTAGAAAACCTACCAGATGTACTTGTGTTCAGGTTTGTTTGCCAGACAAAGTGACATCCTGCAGGTCTGCATGTTTCAAGATTTCTAACCTTCTGCTGGTGGAGACTGTTGGAATGAACACTTTAGTTGCTGAGTGATGAAAAGAAAAACAGAGTTGTTTATTAACTGAGTAAGCAGCAACAACCTCAAGACTACACATTGACCCTGTTTACCTCACTGACCAATAACTGACTGGAATATATGTTTGAACATCTAAACATAAGGGTGATAACCACAGAACCTCTCATAGTTTAATGGCAAAACACATTTGTTAGGGATTTAAAGTTATTACTGCTCCTGCTTGTTGTGTCACAGGCTCTTCACTGCTCTTTAGTGGAGACTGTGGCTATGTCTACCAGGGCAAATAATAATTTTCTCTCAACACATTACAGCAGGCTGAAGCAAGAGTGGTGTGTTTCATGCCACAATAACAAATGGCCGTCTTGCACCTACAAGTTCAAGGCACGACTTTCTTGTCAGGGATATCAGGAGGATGTTGGCACGCCAGTTCGGCTGCAAAGTTTGGATTGCCTTGGCCTTTTATTGAACACGCTCTTCTCTCTGGTCAGGCTGACATTGGCGCTGTACAGGCACACTATCAGAGGATAAACAGCACAGTGAGCTCATTTGATTTGCATTTTATAATGCTTGCATGTCAACACGGCAGCGCTAGTTTGCATCTTATTTGCCTGAATACAAACTCCAGCCCTTTGTCAACACAGAGCCATGTCCATAGGTGTAAAAATGCCTGCCCCCCATCTAATCCCACTGAAGCTAATAAAAATAGAACGCCTGGTGGCAACTGCACAGGGAAGCGCTGTTATCACTGCAACTAACGTTTCTGCTCCCCTCCGCATCTCTTTGAAGGGAAGTCAGTTGGTTACAAAAGCAAAGTGTGTGTGTGTGTGTGTGTGTGTGGTATTTGATTTTAAAGCCACACACTCATACTTGCATACACAGAAATAACAAGATGAATTTGTTGGCGGCCTCAAGTGAGAGAGACAAGACAAGAGATATATAATTTTTTTTTTCTTCCTTTCTCTATCTTCCGTGTCTACAGGCACCATGAAGAGAGAGGTGAAGGCTGGGGTCAGCTTCCTCAAACGCCTGGCTGTGGCACGTGGCAAGTTAAATGCAGCTAAAGCAGAATTGTTTGCGGAGAAGCTTCTGCAACTTCTATGCGACAAATACGCTGACCACTGGTACCCTGACTGTCCCAGCAAAGGCCAGGCATACAGGTAATTATGATATGAAAAAATGTACACAATTGTCACTGATTGTGGGGAGAAAAAAAAAATCCAGATCAAAGATCCACATCATTTTAATATTTTATCCTTTGTAGGTGTATCCGGATAAATAACGGCTTTCCCTGTGATGGAGTGGTTCTGAAGGCATGTGAGGAGAGTGAGCTCACACCCAGTGAGCTAGGCCTTCCGCCTGAGATCACACTGTGGATCGACCCACTGGAGGTGTGTGCAAGGTGAGTCACTGGCTGGCCTGCTGAGGCAGAGGCTAGGAATGGCCCCATCAGACACGCTAGAACAACAAAAAGGCATTTCTCAGTCTAGCCAAGATTTATGAGTGGATGACGCTTCGCCGCTTCCTCCTACTATACAAAAATAAAGCCAAAGTATCCCAGATACAGGCGCTGCTGATACAGTTTGGAGTCAGAGACTGCACAGTAGTGATCATGAAACCCCCCCTTTTTACATCAAATAACTTGTTAAAACCAAACTAATATGAATAATTAACACTTAAACACACATCAGCATGTGAAGAACTACCTGAAGTGACGGAAAATTTATAGTATAAATTTATTTATGTACTTTTGTGATTGAGATGTTTGTGAACTTGTGTGTGTGGTTTAAAATAATCCACTCCCTCTTCACAGATCTGGAGAGAACAGCAGGCCCTTCACAATAGCCGCTTTCGAAGAGGAGGGTGTGAAGGGAGAACAGGATGACTCGTCGGTGGACTCAAACCTGGACACGTCGGATTACCACTCTGCTACCTCTTCGGATTGTGGTTCTACTGCGTCGAGCGACACGGAGGAAGAGGCAAAATATGGTGAGACGGAGGGAGAACAAGAAAAAGAAGAGAAGGAAGTCACCAAGACGGAAGCGGTAGAAGGCGACACCTACACGATAGCAATGGTGCCCAGGATTCGGAAAAGGCACAGAGAAGGACCAAACAAGGTCAAATACGTCAGAAATATGGTAATTATTTTTTATTATCCCTTTTTAGGACCATGTGTTGGTATGTCACAATTAAAGGATAAGGCTGGTGAGATTCTACTCGCACACATTGTCATTGAAACCTGATCAAGCATATTCCTCTGTGCCATAGAGCTCCATAGTTGTCAAACTATTTAAAGAGCTCATTATTCTCATTTTCAGGTTCAAAATCTTATTTAGGGGTTGTACCAGAACAGGTTTACATGGTTTCATTTTCAAAAAACAACATTTTTGTCATACTGCATATTGCTGCAGCTCCTCTTTTCAACGGTGATTTCCTCCACATGGACAAAGTGAGTTTAACACCAATGCTGGAAACTCTCCACCTTTCCACTAATCACTTTTACCCAATCTCAATCTTTCTGTGTTCAGATCCCTGCCAGCCTTCAGTACTTCTACCACCCTGCACCAGTTTGGCCTCAGTATAAAAAGGGCGCCCCAGTGTTTCTCAACACGGTGTGCGTGCCTCCGGCACCGCCACCTCTGCCCCAGCAGGTATTTGGCTACTACATCTTGCCACAGTCGTCTCCGCAGTTCATTCTGCCTCAGGCCACTCTGCAGCCGTGGGGTGCTGTGAAGGGTTAGACTGCCCAGGGAGTCTGGGGTGAAGGTGGATCGCATTTTATAAGCTCCTTCTGAGCCATGTCATGTTGGGTCTCTGAGTTCAGCTGAACTTGGGCCAAACTTTAACTGTGTAGCTCAAAGTTGTTCCTTGCACAACCTATAATAATTCCTCTTTCCTTTTCATTTGTGGTGACTTGCAATTGATGGCTTTTACTCGGCACAGGGATACCATTGAACTTGAGTGAAAACTGTTTTTTTGTTTGTTTTTTTCTCTAATCTGCCAGGTCTGCACTGCTTTTTTATTTATTTATTTTTTTTAAATACGTACTGTACATGTTAAGAATGACTTTTGTCACTGGGTACTTGGACCAACTCAGGAACTCTCAGCAATACACTTAAAGCCAAATAATTGTCTATTCAGGTGTGTTAATATGTCAATCTCTTTGTCAGTTATCTCACCAATTATGGTCCATAGTGTATATGTCAGTTATTAATGTAAATTGTGATTCAGGGTTTTCATCTATTGTAGCTAGAATTACATTATCTGTGTATATTAAGAATATTTTTACTAAACTCCTTGTAAATAATACAGAACTTGGATACCATAGACTGATGCACACTTTAACCTCGCTGTCTTCTTGTTGTAATTTATTTGGACACCACTGGATGGCACTCAACTCGCAGCTAATACATGAAATTTTATATATATAATTTTTTTTTTCGTATGAACAGTGGCTGCTGTATACAGCAAATCTAACTTTGGACACAAACAGCTTAAACTCTGCTATTAGTATAATAAGTAATTAGTATATTATAAGTGTATATTATTCCTTATTCTGTCTCTTTTTATGACCTGCTTAAAGCTGCTAAGGTTTTTATTGTAAATACCTTTACTTTCTATGAAAATCTGCTACAGCTATAAAGTCTGAATACATGTTTCACTCATTTTTACTTTACTGTGATCATTTAATTATATTGATGCATAGTTGTTGTTTTTTTTAGCATTTAGTTAATGTCAATGCAACTTTGAAACTGGTATGCTTAAGCATTGCTTTGCTTGCAGCACATTAAATCAACTCATACCTGAAATTATACATTGCGTTTGCTTGTTTATTTTTATAATCAATACGTTTCAGTGCAGAGGTTGGTGCTGTGTAGAAGTGTTTGTCTGTTTTCTCTCGTAAAAAATTACAGTCTGAACACTGTACTTTAGTCATTCTGTGACTCAGAGCTGTTCGCCGTTACCTTCAGCAGGATACTGCGGCGGAAGGATTCCTGTGTGCTGGATGCGTCATTCACCCCAAGGTCATGACGGGGGTCCTCCTTAAACAGGCCTAATGAGGGTGAGGGGAGACTTCTGTGTTTCACCTCTTGCTTGGTCTGTGGAGGATTTGCAGGAAATAAAAGGACATCTTGGCAACTCAAATAATTAAGAACAAGAGTGGGAGGTATACCCCAATAAATAATAAAGCAGGCATATTTGCAAGACCGTTCTAAAAAGGTTAAGAGGAAAAACTTAGACTGTTCAGGTATTTTTCTCTATTTAGAAATGGATGAGTGAAGAGGTGAAGGCTAGGACAGTGTCTTTGCCAATGTCCGCAAACCTTGACTAGGTTTAAGCCTGTAAACCTGAATTATGTTTTCAATAAACTGCAACAGGCCAGAGGATGAAGGTAGGTTACTCCGCCACGAGATGTCACTCTGTAGCTGTTGTAGAACAAGTGCTCCCCGGTGTTGCAGTGCGTTATGACTAAATAAATGAAAACATACACGGCTCGTTATTTGTTTTTATAGTTTGCCTTATTTCTGTTCAGAATAAGGAACTCGGGTAATCTCGTGGCTAACTGTCCACTGGATACAAAACAGTATGTCTAACGTAACTTGTATATTCCACCAAATTACAATTTAGGTTGTCTGATCAGACATATCCAAATGGAATGAAAAATAATCTAAAAATATTTCGTTTCACTTCGTGACAATGCCCATCTGACAGCGCATCGTGCATAACACCAGCGCACAAACACACACACGAAAACAACTCCTTTGTGGCAGACTGACGCACACTCTTAAAATAGGATAACCCATGCAAATAGGAGTCCATAGCCCACTGCAGTGTGCAATAGCATAAGTGCGCGTAACAACGCCGCGCCGGTCGGTAGGAGTGTTAAAGTGAGGGTGTTGTAGGCCAATTGTTTTGGTAAACCCGTTACTTCCATGAGCGACGCACAAGAGACGGGCCTGGAACGCAGTGCGCCCATCGGACTATGCCTTCCCCAACTCGGGAGAGAAGCAAAGGGGAGACAGGACAGGCAGAGGAGACCGACGAGAGAGGGGCAGGCGGCCGTCTCGTGTGCGCTCTGGAGATGGAGATGATAAACCGCAGCCTGCAGGGCGACTCCAAAGTGGATTATGGAAATTGCGATGGCTTGATCAATCGAAACGGCGGGGACTCGGCAGAAGTATCCGTGCCGCTGACACTTTCCGGGAAGCGGACAGCTCATATGGAGGGCGACAACCTCCACAGACTGAGGGGGAGAAATGTTTTATTAGAGGATAAAAAGCGCCTTTGCGCGTTGGCTTTGGGCACCGCTCTGCTCGGGATACTGCTCATGATAATCCACGCCGAGATATGTCCCTTCGTTTATAAACCGGTAGGTTCGAGAAATTAATACCTTTATGTCTTGACCAGTGAAAAATGTATCTAACCAGATTTCAATGCGTAAGAACTGACTGCACAACCGAATCAAATAATTAGATTGGAAATGTTTGAAATGTGATACTTTAATGTGGTTTTGTAAACACTTGATTTTAAAGACGCATGCTCCCCATACCTTTTCCCACTGCAGTTCAAAAGATGATTACTTCTGCTAATAAATGTTAATCTCTCGCCACGCACACATTGCAAAGGGCTTAACTTTTAAATAACGTGCATCTGCAAAGTAGAACATTTACACCGCAGCACAGCCACATATTTGACATTTAGCCTAAATTCGTTGTGTTATCAACTAGTTCAGATATTTTAGTGAAGGCTCTTGAATGATACAAAAAAGCAACAAAATCATCATGCCTTCAGCATCGTGCAATGGAACTATTGCGCTGCTGCTGTGTGGCAGCATCTCAACTCTTCTTTAGCCTACTGCTTGTGTGGCATTTACAAGTGCTCAGATTAGTTAATACTAAAAAGAACTGGTACAAACAAATTGCTCTTGTGTCTGTTTTATTCATGGAATATTCCAGTAACTAAATGTAATAACTGGTGCATAAAAACCACCCTTACATAATTGGCTTTATTTTTGATTTCATAATAATGTCTTTAAGTAGCAGACAGCTAAAGTCCCATGCAACACAACAGCAGAACCTGCACCTGGGCTTTGAACCTCCCTGACCTTCTGATTAGTTAGTCCATTTCCAGACACACTATTTGGTAGCACAGCTTCATGACATTAACATGCAGATCTCAGTGGATAACAATGCCAGGCCACACAATCAACAAATTATTAACTTCCCCTGACTTCCTACAGCACATGCACAGTTCAACATGTGGAAAAAAGGTCTCATGCATGCCGCACACCATCAGACCACCTCCATGCTGTGAAGTCAGTGATTGATTACAGTGTCAAAGAGACCCACATTTCAAACTCACATCAGCTATAATCTTTTGAGAAACCTATGGAATTATGGCCTGACCTTCAACAATATGCCTGGTGTGTGGAGAGAGAGTTGGACCCAGAGAAACATGGTCGTGAAATTAACAGGGCTGGCACGGATATGACGTTATTCCAGTGTACAAACACAAACCAAGGACAGGTGTTGTATGTCCGTTCCTAACAACAGGCATCAGCTTTGGTACCGTGGAAATGCTGATGCACTGGAAAAGTGCTCCGCAGTTAAATCATATTCTTTTGGAGAGACTGCATTGCTGATTAAACCCTAGCTTATATAACCATTTCCAGCATTCATCTTTAAACTTCATGTTATGTCCAAGTCATGAGTGTGAGCTGTGACATCTTCCTGCCCTGTAGACTGACATAACGCGGTGGCATTGGGAAATAAAGCCATTTTTAAGTATACTACAGGAGCACTTGTAGGCCTATCAAATTTAATGTCAGTCTACAAAGTTATATTTTAAGCTCACCTTTTCATGGTTCTGCACGAAAAAACAGGGCTATTCATGGAACGTTTTTCCACATTTCGCCTCTTCCCCTACAGCATGATTGCTCACATTACTTCAGGCTATCTTTCCACATCATTTAGTGTATAATTAGAGTGTTTGCATGGCCAGTCTACAGTTCTCTGTCTTGAGTTTGGCTGTGCTAGATTAAGGAGTGTGCACCTGGATGCAAGCTCGTGTCCTCCTTTCTGCAACTCGTTGAGGACTTTCCTGAGATGACTTTACAATCCAAAACAATATCACAATATTTGATGTACTTACTAGTTATGGTCTCATTTGTTTTCCTTGTGCTGTTTATCCCATTGCCTTGATAATTCTACACAAGTCACCTTTTATTTAATGAGAAATGAAATTATATGTTGACATGTGTAACTATTTGCGCTGACTGGAAGCTTAACATGTTTTTGTTTTGCATTAATTGACTCTGAACATCACGTACATTTCTTCTTTTTATCCTCTGTTCAGCTATTTCGTGCCAGCTTTTTAAATGCTCTTTGTTTTGTTGTTTTAAAGTAACATCTGGCCCGGGCCAAGGGCGGATAAAAGTGCCGATGCACAATGGATGGCCATTTATGTGCTTGCTAGTTATGACTCATTAATTTGACTTTCCTATCAATTGCTAAAGCCACACCTATAAATTGTAAAATTGTTGTGGCTGGACTTGAGACAATGCAATTTCCTACAAATGATTCAGCAAAAAAGTATATTGATTTTCATTTTTTTTTATTTACAAGTTACATTTTTAAGTTTAAAATATTAAACTCAAAATTATTATGATGGAAATTTAACATCGGATCATAACAAAGTACAAGCTATAAGCTCAGAGCATGTAGGCGTATACAGCAATGTAGTCACATCTTTTGTTAAAATAAATAGTTCTAAACATTTTCAAGTTAAGAGCCCACATTTCCTGTAAAATAACAAGTTTTTTTTTATACAGCATGCTGCAATATAGTTCACCCACACACTATACTATACTATATGGCTTACATGCAAATAAGCAAAAGTCTGGCCCACTTGTGTATGTTATCTGGGTTGTTGATTGTCGCTGATCAAACATCCACAACCACAGAACCAGAACTGGGTCTTGAACCACTGTCCTCCCACAAAACACATAATATACTGTAGGGCAGTGATTCTCGATACCAATTTTCTGGGAGGCCTTGTTAACCAATAACAAACTAGCTTGTAAGAAAGAAAACCAGCAGTGCCAAGATGAAAAACATGTTCTACCCTGTTCTACAGGGTGCAGGGAAGTGGTATCCTAATCACATGTGCTTTTGTTCATCTCTGACAGCTGATCAGCCACACCTGTCCTTTTCAGTGTCTACCTGATGCCAGGTGCAGCGTGTTATAATATTACGTGCCTGAGTTCACTCATGAGCACAATTCAACCAAGAAATCACAGACATAGTCTGATGCAGTGTTAGTGTTTGATTTGATTTGATTTGTTAATATTCTTACAAAATGTCCATATGCAAACTGTAAGTGTCTGTATGTAGCATCCAGCAATTATTGTATGGTATCCCTAATCGTAAAATCCGTCACCAGGCAACTTCACAGTGAAATCCCCTTGTGCAGTTTTTTGGTTGGTATTACCTGCTGTAATGTCTCCTTTCCTATGCGCATCCCAAATATTCCTTCAGGATATTATTTGTAATCTAAGTAATCTATCCTTGTGTTTATTACAGGATATCTCTAGTTGCATTAGTGACCTGTAGTACAAGGGTCTACATGACAACAAATGAAACCACACTGACTAACAAACCAAATTAGAAAACTAAAGTCAGATGTATACAATATTTATTTTGAAGTATTTCTTTATTACAGTGAATACAAACCAGGTCACCTTCTTTTGCTTTGGATTCAGTGTTTTCTTTTTTTCCTATGCTTTGGGTGGCCTGTCCTGGTGACAGTGGCACA